CTCCACCCTGAGCATGATCACTTCATGGCTGGCATAAGGCATTATAAAAGTTGTTTTCAAATGACCTTATTTGGAACTAAAAAGATAATACAGGATGGTTTTATGCTGACATTCAAAGTGCAGGGCTAGGTGTATCATTTGGTTCGAAATTTGCTTCCCCCACTCCAGAATGAACCACATTTCTTACACATGTATTTTGTTGATGAGGACGATAGAGAAGTTCAATTGAGATGCAATAATTTTCTTTATGTAAACCTGGCTTGGTAAGGCAATTACAAGAAATGTAACATACTCATAATGTATACGTATGAGAGTTAATGCTAGCCCTGGACAAAGTATCTGCTACGCCAAATACATTTAAATTTGTTATAAATGCAGAAAGAAAGCCTACAAATAGCCACAGTGGACGGGGTATGATCTAACTGCGTCAAACGAAGTTGCTTTAGTTATTGTTGGACAGCATTTTTCCAACCAGGATATTGTAATTGAGAGCCATGATAACACATAGTATCGGATAAGTTAAATCCATCGCTCATAGGATGCATTACAGTACCAACTTGTGTTTTACTACAGCGAGGGTGGATACTCCGTTTCTATAACCCCAATGCGATCCTATGACCAAACAACCGCTTAAAAAAATGGTATCTGCTCCAAGTTTTAATTTTTACCGTATAGTGATTAGGAAAGAAGAATATAATTATCTGCTATAGTTTCGTACGCTGTTTAGCCAGTTTTTACTTGACATGTTTGTGAAAATCTAGACGGAAAGAATGAGTTATATTAGGAACAATCAGGCGCAGCTTAGATCGAACAGTTATATACACTTGCAAGATGCGATAGGGAGACAGGACGTCGATGCTGATCATCTGGGTCAAATGATGGTGCTCCCTTTTTTCTTTTACTGGGGAGGGGGGGGGCATGCATATAGCATGAACGGACACAAGACATCATGACGTATGTGCGCCACTACGGACGTCCCGATCTCTTTATAACATTTACTTGTAATCCTCGATGGAATGAAATCACGAAGATGGTTTTGCCTGGGCAAAAATGTTATGATAGATACGACGCCAGGGTTTTCCAACTGATAAATGAAAATAATGGCACTTATAATCAAAGGAAAAATATTTGAATGACACAAACGGGGTCTGCCTCACATACACATATTGTTGTGGATGGTTAACCGCATTTCGCTTGACATGGTAGATGAACTTATATGTGCTGAGATACCAAATCCAAATGAGATCCTATTTTATACGACATAATTAAAAACAATATGATACACGGTCCATGTGGGAATCTTAATAATAATTCTTCCTGCATGAAAGATAATAAATTCAGTAAAAAATATCCGAAACAATTTTTGAGAGATACACAGACAGGTGACGATGGTCACCCACAGTACAGAAGACGATCTCCGGCTGACGGTGGATTTACACTTAAATTAAGACATTGAAGTAGACAATAGGTGGGTGGTCCCCTATAATAAGGTTCTCTCACGGACATTTAAGACACATATTAATGCAAAATTTTGCAATTCTGTTAAATCTATAAAGTACATTAATTTGTAAGTACAATAATAAGGGCAATGATCAGACGCTTTTCGTGCTAGAAAGCAAAAAGGACGAAGTCAAATTATATAAGAGTGTTGATTTGAGTAGTTCGGAAGCAGTTTGGGGGATTTTAGGATTTTCATATATGTATCAATGTATGTGATATTCTTATAACAGCTCTACACAGTCGACCCATACCCTAGTTTTGCAACTATCGCAAATTTCCCTCCTATTAGGCAATGTATGGGAGAGGCTTATCTTCAGTAGCAGACTTACAATAGTTGTTATTATTTTACAGATTCGCGGTACTATACAATTGTCCACTTATTTGGTACTCTTCAATGAGTATCCACTGGACAATTTTACGAAGAATTGAAGAAGCTAGAAGCCCAGCGTCAATAAGTGATTCTGTTCATACATCACAAAATGTTCCCCCATTTGCATCAGCTTTTGTATTACAAAATATGTAAGATGTTTCCCGTCCGAAAATTAATAACATGAATAGTCAAAGTAACCGGCGGAAGAGTAGACTGTAAGACTGTAACCGACAAGCAATGTAAGAGAAAGGTTCTCAAGTGGCAGGCTTATACTGGCAATCAAATTGCTGGGCAAATCAAGCCCAACACATAGTACTGACAACTTGTCATAACATGCATAGAATGGATATGAAAGGCTAAAGATCATGCTCCGGCTGTAATGATGATTATGAATTATTAATATATTAAAAGTTAAGATTCACTGGCAACGTGAAACAACGTCAAAGATGCGATACCAGTGACACTCCGCTCGCCAACGCGCACGACAAGCTGAATGATTACAGCAAATTCTTCAGACACATGAAAAAGCCCATGTGCTAACAGCGAACTGCGACATGACACAAAAGATTTTAAGAAATTACGTAAAAATACAATAGAGTGCAACGAGATTTTGTGAACTCGATTGTATTTTATTTGACACTTTACACTACAGTGGACCCCCGGTAATCCGACAAACATTTTACAGAGCAGTGTCGGACTATCGAACTCGTCGGACTGTAGAGTACTGCCTATAGTCCCCCTATAGTCCGGAATTTCTTATAAAAGTGTACCTTGTAGTCCGACAAATTCTGAAGTACTCTGAAGTACAAATTAAGAAAGAAAGAAAGAAAGAAAGGTTTATTCTCCAAAATGACGCCGTCACAGATAACATAAAAAAGAAACACATAATTTACAAATAATATTGGCTATACAATGTATGGCTATTATGTATGTCAAATTTAGTATATTAAACAACACAATAGGGAGCTTACATTTTATTTTAAAATTAACGTCATTAATGCAATAGAACTTACAAAAAATATGCAATAACTTTATATTAGGAAATAATTGTGTACAAACAAATTTACATACTAAAATAATCAAAAATTATGAATCTAATCAAGTTAAGAAGCATGAAAATATTCATCTATTTTTCTTTGTTTAACATTGTTGAAACGTGACATTAAAGCTTCCCTCAATCTTCTCAAAAGTAGAAGTTCGTTGTAGGATGCGCCATTCTCTTCAGCTCATTGCAAACCTAGCTCAATGGCGTTAATTGTATCTTGTTATATATAATATTGGTGTTGCGTACAAATTGTACCTTGTTTAATCATGCATTTGCGAAGATTGGAAAAAATATATCTAACAATAAATAATAGACCATGTCGGATTACAGGGGGTGCCGGATTAGATAGGGGCCGGATTACCAAGGGTCCACTGTATTGATATTGACTATGTACCAACGGATAGGTCTTCAAATTAAGATGGAAAAAAGAAAGATCATGTGTAACGTCCATGTCACAGTTATGTCGCCATTTGTTGCGAGCACTACGCACCAAGTTGTTGACGAGTATGTTTAGCTAGGACAAATAGTCTGACTAGGTTAGGTAGGTCCCAACTTCGACTGAGAGGTCAATCGACAGATTCAAGACGAGATATTATGACACATCTTAACTTCAGGAATATCTCAAAACTTGAAAATAACAAAACTTTTTACGTGGTAGAGTCATGCCGCAGCTATATTAGTAGTATAGTTGTACTACGAATGGGTCGGCTCGACCGGGGAAGGACCACGCTTTCACAGAATACCAGCGTAAAATAGCAGCTTAACACTGCTATGTTTCGTATAGTGATTGTAGAGAAACCGAGACCCTTTTTAGTGGAAATGAGACATTCCATCTTACAGGTGATACGCATCTGCATTTTGATTTATAATCGAGAATAGATGTAGATGTATATGGGCCGCGGCAACCACTTAAAATATGATATAAAATTGTACAACCAGTGCCAGTGATGACTTATGGATTTGGTCTTTCACTGCTGGCCGTATGAGGAAGCTCAAGGTCGTTCAACGAGCTATGGAGAAGGCTATGCTCGGGGTTTCTCTGCGCGATAGAATAAAAAATGAGAATATCCCAGCTGAAATGCAACAATAGGCTGGCCATATATCTCAAAGAACCGACAACCGATGGTGAAGAAAGATTTGTCCTCGTACCGGTAGCAGAAGTGTGCCCCCCCCCGACTAGATTGAGTGACGACCTGGTAAGACATACAGACAGTCGATGGATGTAGGTTGCTCAGAACCATGCCTTGTAGCATACTTTGGGGGAGGTCTGAATGATGATGATGATAATGACACATAACAGTTTCAAGTTAATGTTAAATGCATTTGTTTTGTAAATGTTATAGTCGTACATAATAGTACGTGTTAAATTATGAAATCTCCGTTTTATATTAAAAATTCATAAATCTTTTTTTTTCAAGCCGATGCGATAGAATTCTGGGGATTTGTACACCAATTAAGGTATTTTATACAGCTTTCTGGGAAAAACACTAGAAATGGCCCAAATTACGAAAACGGTAATCAGTTGGGGCTAAGTCTGGCGATTACGGAGGATAAACTGTTGTTTTTAAAAACGGGTCTTGTAATGTTAAAACGGTTTGTCAAGCAATGTGTGATTATTATCATTAACGAATAATGGTGAGGGACAAGTGAAAGTTGTTTCTCTTAGAGTTTTTCCATCATTTTTTGAGGTTATTCACAATAGATATCAGCTGTTATTGATACACGGAATCTCAAAAAGCTAAAGTAAATTATACCATGACGTGGCCACCATATAGTTTCCATAAATTTTCTATAAGTGAAATAAATATAAGTGAATCTTGTTGTCATTTAAATAATTAAATGCTATCGGCTCAGTAGCGCGTGGACTAACAGCATCGAACAAGTATTAGTATAGTATCAAATAATTGTTGCGGCTCTAGGTATTTATTTATGTACAATGTAATAAGTAGTATATATTTAAGCCCCCACAATGTAGAAAAAAATTCCAAGGGTTCTATTAGTTTTTGGGTGACCATATTTATAGAGACAGATGGAAAAACAAGAAGAAACGATAAACGCAACTTATTTAATAACAAAACTTATTTAATGAACAGGTATTTATATAATTTGGAAAAAGAAATATTCAAAACCACGTTCGAACCATTAATGACTGCGAGAGGAAAAGTTTTGTGCTCCTATGAAGAGACTCGATACTTTAACTCTCTTGTATTGGTTAATTCGCTTTTATTATTGAACGAAGAAACCACATTGCCAGAAAAATTTAAACCTATCGCTGGACTACACATTGGTCGAAAAACAAAACCATTACCGAAGGTAATACACACTTGGTAATAATTTTACGTGGCTTTACACTTTCAATCACAAAAAAGAGAGTGACTAAAAATAGTTTAAGACAGTTTTAGTGATGACGAATGTATTCTAATAAATTAGTAGAAAGATATTAAATTTTAGCTTACTATTTTCTATTGATAACTTTTAAATTATGATTTATGAAATAAGAGGCAATATATTATTGAATCTGATACAGTCATGTTTAAGTGACCTTTATATTACTATAATCTTCATCAACATGTATATTCGTATATGTTGACGAAGATGCTTAAATTTTGAAACAAAAATTGAGGAATAATTTTCATCAAAAGAGCATAAAATTGCTCACGGTGTTTCTCGAGGCAGTGTAATAGGTCCCCCTCCTTTTTATTATGTATATGATTGCCGAATGCTACAAATTAACCAATGACATTAGTCACTGATGATGTATTTACATACCTTTAAAATAATAACCTACCATAAAAATAATAATCTAATAATGAATCTACATAAAACGAATATATTAGGTCCTTACATATGAAATTGGCGTTTTGTACGGGAGGAATATAAAGTCATTTTTTTTTGTAAAATATATTTAATATTCAAAGTATGCACCGTTGTTATCTATGCACTTTTGCCATCTCATAGGTAGTTCATTGATCCCTTTAGTAAAAAAACCATGGGGACGAGAATCAATAAACTCTTTAAAGGCGGTTTGGACTGCCGCATCGTTATTTCTTCATGGTTTGCAGTTGCTGACGATAGATATCTGTCGTAATCGTTTGGCCAGATTTTAGAAAGCTGTAGTGAACGACACCGGCGCTAATCCACCAAACACTCACAAGTAACTTTTTCTGGGCAGGATTTGGCTGGGTTTCCAGGGTTCAGCCATTGCGACGAGCGCTTCCAATTATCGTACAGTATCCACTTTTCATCACAAGTAATGATTTGATTTAAAATCCCTTCATTATTGTGTCGGTTGAGCAAAGTAACACAGCAGTCGACTCGTGTTTGCAAGTTCGATTCACTCAATTCATGAGGTACCCATCGTTCAAGTTTTTTTACTTTCCCGATTTGCTTCAAGTGGATTAATACAATTTTATCACTTACACCAAAGCCTGCAGCTATGTCTGAAGTACTTTGTGATGGATCCGCTTCCACAATAGCCTTTAATTCTTCATTTTATACTTTGGTCTCCGGCCGTCCACGGGGTTGGTTCTGAAGGTTGAAATTTCCAGAACGAAAACGTTGAAACTAAAAACGTACCGTGCTTTCTTTTGCGACACCAGCACCGTACACATCATGAAGGCTTCGAGCAATTTCTGCAGCACTGGTACTCGTAAATATACCGATATTTCATGTTTTCCATTGTGCGATAATAAGCGACGCCAAAGAAAACAATAATGAGGAAAAAACAAATGAATGACTGTTTTCAAAACTCAACTGTACCAGCTAAATGAATTTATAAATCTGAATTAGAAATTCTTAACCAAAAAGGAGATATTTCAAATCAAAGTGGTCAGTACAACAAAACGCTAATTTCATATGTAAAGACCTGATAATGACTTTTATTCAAAGATCTCAAAACCACTCTCACGTGGATTTATTTTACAAACAAAATATAAAAATGGAAGGAGATACAATTCGATATCGCGTTCTTGTAATTGCAGGCAATATTCAGGGCCTATTTTGAGTGGTCTAATCAATAGTACAATATCAAGGTAACAATTAAAATGTTTTCAAAATAGTTACATTAAGAATTTCATCTCTTTATTTTCCGACCCCTAGAAGTGAAAGTTTCTATTCAAACTTAAATTGAACCGCTCTTGGAGCCTATTATTTAAAGCCTATTTATTTAAAAAAAACGGTTTATTTTTACCGATAATTACGAGTATAATCATATATTTTTTAGGAGTTGAAGAACATATTGGACAACGCAAGAAAAGGTGTTATATACTTCAGCATGGGAACAGTTTTAAAAAGTCAATATGTACCAATGACATTAAAGCTGATTGAAGTGTTTCGAAAATTAAAACAAACAGTTATTTGGAATACTGAAGCGAAATTTCCTAATTTACCAAGTAACGTCCATACTCTGAAATGGGCTCCACAGCAAAGTATTCTATGTAAGTGATATTATAGAGTTATCCAAGAGTTTTGAGCACTTCGCTTGTACAAGTTTGGTTTTGTTTTTGAAATTCGTTCCTTTTACAAAAATACACTTTAAATCTAACATTTTTTTGGAAAGCACGGAACTGAAAAGTCAATACACGGTAAATCATTATACAAATCATTCACAAGTTTTCGCGTATACCGCTAAAATTATAAATACAAAATAATAATAATAATAATTTTTATTGACATAATATGAGGTTACAAATAGCCTATGAAGCCTCTGAATCCTAAACTAGGTAAGAACCTGTATGTCAGGATTCAACGCCTTCTGCCGTGTTTCTTGGTCTAATTTATTTATGTCAAAACAATTTTTCAGTGTGTTTGCAGATTTAACTAATAACAGTTATACTCAAAGAATATTATTAAATTAAAGTTTTAATAATATTTATCAGATAAGTTATTATATTTTTCAGCGCATCCAAACTGCATCCTCTTTATTACACACGGAGGCTTGTTTTCATTAACTGAAGCAGTACACTTCGGCGTTCCAATAATTGGAATCCCAGCATTTGGTGATCAAATCACTCATGTCGAGAGTGCTGTTAGGAAAGGTTTTGCAATTCACGTGGATTTGTCTCACTCGATGTCAAAAGATGTATATGAAGCTATTTTAACAATTCTAAGCGACCCTAGGTAAATTTTGAATATCACTTAATGAATGACACTGAAATTAACAATCTATAATTTTCAAACTATAATACCAGTGTCCACGAAACGGTTTTTATCATCGCAGTACCAGATATCTCGCATTTTTGTCGAACTTTGCTCCCAACCGTCGTTATGGGTATTTAACACCTTGAATTTAAGGGTAACTTTCATGACTAATAATTTATAAATGGATTACTTTTTTTGTAGAATAAAGGTGACAGACGAGTACACAGCCCATCTGATGGTATGTGAATGCTGTGACCCATAGAAATCTACTTTGATCCTCGATTAAGAATCAAAATGCAGATGCGTTGTCACCCCTGAGAACTAAAATGAAATGCCTCGTATCCATAAAAAAGTCTCCGTTTCTCTACACTCACCATGCGAAACACAGCATCATCAAGCTGCTGTTTTTTGTACGCTGGTATTATGTGAGAGCGTGGTCCTTTCCCGCTCGAGCCAACCCATTCTTGCTACAACCATATTATAGCTGCAGCATGGCTCTACCACGTATAAACTTTTTAAAGTTTATTACAAAATTATTAATTATTTTGAAATTTTACCTCCCCTTTTTAACTCCCATCAAGGCTTTTTTTTAATAGGATAAGGGTGACAAACGAGCACACAGTCCACCTGATGGTAAGTGGTTGCTGTGGCCCATAGACATCTGCATCTATCCTCTATTACAAATCAAAATGCAGATGCGTTGTCACCCGTGAGGACTGAGATGGAATGCCTCGTTTCCAGTAAAAAGGGTATCCGGTTCTCTACACTCACCATACGAAACACAGCAGCATTAAGCTGCTATTTTACGCTGGTATTCTGTGAGAGCGTGGTCCTTCCCCGGTCGAGCCGACCCATTGGTGTTACAACTATACCAGAAATATAGCTGCAGCATGGCTCTACGACTTATAAAAAGTTTTTTATTTTCTATAAAGGTAATTATTATATTTTTATTTAAGTTTATATAAATAAACATTGTTTTCAGGTATCGCAAGGAGGCGAAGGAACTGTCATTCATTTATAACGTCAGACGCTTGCCGCCCAGAGTCGAATTAAATAACTGGGTGAAACATGCAATTCGCACTGGAGTCTCTCTTCCAATTCGATCTCCTACAACTGATGTGCCATTATACAAAAAGATGTATCTAGACCTTGCTATTGTTATTTTTATTATACTGGTTTTTATTAAATTTATTTTTATGAGGTCATTGTCTGCACTGTGCAGTAGTAAACAAAAGAAGGAGTAGAAAACTTGTTGATTAAAATTAGGATAACAATAAAATTTTATCAGAATTCTTAGTGAGAATTATTTGAATGATTTCTTATATTTACGCGAACACTACACATTGAATAAAAATACTTTTACGGCATTTATCGCGTTTACTTAACTTATTTTTCTTATTTTTATCAATTCCCGACGTTTGGGGTGCTTTCCAGCACCCATGGTCACGGGGGACTAAGGTGATTGACGTTCCAATGTCAGAGTTAACCGCGAGTACCTTCAGCTTTTTTATTTATTAATTTTGGTCCGATCTACGCAGAATGAACTTATTGTGTTTTGAAGTCTTGTAGTGGTATGCTTGGGTTTAGTTTTAATTTTATTAATTACAGGATCCCAAGCAGGTGGCAGTACCCCGCCTCCCTCTCTATTGAAATTAGGATGTCTTTTAATTTCAATAGCCTCACGTATCATCCTTGGCAGAAATCGATGTTCTTACGCGAGAATTTGTGGTTTAACAAATCTAATGTAATGGCTAGGGCCGTCTAGGATATGATCACAAACTGCAGACTTCCCAGAACGTTGGTGCTTCACGTCAGCTATGTGTTCTTTTACGCGGGTTTTTATTGATCGTTTTGTTTGCCCTATATATGAGAGACCACATTCACAATCAAGCTTGTGCACTCCTGCATCTTGTAGAGGAATATTGCACTTGACGGATGATAAGAACTGACTATATCTTCTTCGGCGGCTTGAAGAATGTTCTAATAGAAGCTCGCTTCAAGATGTAGCCAATCTTGTGTGTGACACCTCTAACATATGGTAGTACAGCAGGCACACGCTTGACTGTGGCCGGCTTCTCTCGGTCACTGTGACGCATGCGCGGGACCCAAAGCTTGTTGTCGTGCAGAACCTGCTTGACGTGCTGAAGTCGGCTTTAAATGTCGGTTTGAAACGGTGAAACCCACCATCATCCTTCACAGTTAGGTACCGTGGGCAAATCTTTGTTACAGAGAGCACGAGGGATCTGTGACAGCAAACACCTGGCCGCCGAGCTTCAACACATAGCTGACGTGAAGCACCAACGTTCTTGGAAGTCTGCAGTTTGTGATCATATCCTAGACGCCCCCCGCCATTACATTAGATTTATTAAACCACAAATTCTCGCGAAAGAACATCTATTTCTGCCAAGGATGATACGTGAGGCTATTGAAATTAAAAGACATCCTAATTTCAATAGAGAGGGAGGCTGGGTACTACCACCTGCTTGGGATCCTGTAATTAATAAAATTAAAACTAAACCCAAGCATACCACTGCAAGACTTCAAGACACAATAAGTTAATTCTGCGTAGATCGGACCAAAATTAATAAATAAGAAAGCTGAAGGTACTCGGGGTTAACTCTGACATCCGGACGTCAATCACCTCAGTCCCCCGTGACCATGGGTGCTGGAAAGTAATCGAAACGTCGGAAATTAATAAAAATAAGAAAAATAAGTTATTAAACGAGATAAAATCCGTAAAAGTAGTTTTATTCAATGAGAATCATTTTATACTTAATCCAGTATCACTTTGAGGAAGCATAATATGATATATGATTAATAAAATCGATTACACCCTAACATTCGGGTGATCTCGTAAGAGAAGAAGAAATGCCTAGAATGAGATCTTAAGGGTATCGATAGAAGGTGTAATCCAGTACTACTGTCGTCAATCCGCTAGCTAATAGTGATGATTACTGCAAATCGAAGCCGGATTCTTTTTTTTTTCTTTCTTTTTTTAAAAAACGTTACCCCCACACTAGAATTTTCTCCTGTGTCGTGGAGGCAGTTTACAAATATAAATTGCACAAGGACAAACATCCAGACCCGGAACAATTATTTGTAGGCCATACAAATACTTGTTCCGTGCGGGATTCGAACCCGCGGCCCCCAGCGCAACAACTGATTGCTAAGCCACTGCGCCACGGAGCCGTCATTTATTTAAGATTTAATGATTTTAAATTTGGTGACCGTAATGAAAGTCTTTATCACAAAATATTATGTCATGTTTCTGAGTGTAAGCACTCCTGCTCAGCAGGATGAGTATGTAATTCTTTCAAGAAAGTAGTGGTGTGATTACGTCCAGTGGTGGACTTAAAACGGCTGATAATGGAGATAGCTTTTGAACATTCACATCATCAGTATCATCATTACAGATCATCACAAGTCAACTGTACAACAACATAGTTTGCCACAAAATACGGTCCTGTAGCACCTTCATCCATCGACTACCTACACGTTTCATAAAATCCTCACTCCATCTAGTACGGAGTCGACCAACAATGCGTTAGTTAGCCAGTACGAAGTTGCCACTCGAAAACCTTCCTTCATCAAACCTTTCATCATGCAGCCAGTAATAATTTTTTAGACCTCACTTTTCTAATATTTAAAAGGGACCTTAAACTCTAAGTTCATCTAAATTTAAGTACATTACTGTATATATTACATATGTGGTAGAGCCATGCTGCAGCTATATTAGTAGTATAATTGTAGCACGAATGGGTCGTTCCGGGGAAGGACCACGCTCTCACAGAATATCAGCGTAAAATAGCAGCTTGACACTTCTGTGTTTCGTATGATGAGTGTAGAGAACTGGAAACCCATTTTACTGTAAAAGAGGCATTCCATCTTAGTCCTCACGGATGACGACGCATCTGCATTTTGATTCTTAATTGAGGATAAATGTATGGGCCACAGCATCCACTTACATCAAATGGAGTGTGTGCTCGTTTGTCACCCTTATACTATAAAAAAAATTTAGGAATGTCTCACATAGCATATTCTTGAAAAAATTGGTCATGCTAACAATGCTGGCAGGCTGTATGGCAGGCATTTACGACACAGGTATTTTTTTCTCACGGTCGCTGGAAACTCGACAATCATTCTTCTTCTTCATCATTATCAGCTCATAAAAGTTCATTGTTAGACTTAGGTCTATCCCAATGTAGGGAGAATTTGCCTTAATCACTCTTAACGTGCGATTTGGTGATCACAATATGAGTTTCGGTCCATTGCCGCTGCACCCGTCGCTGATCCGGTTATTATAAGTAAGCGTTAACGAGATGATTGTACCAAAATTTTTCGGAAGCCAATTTCTTGGAATTTGCCATATTTGCCTCTTAGTCACCTCTTACTACACCTACGCAACCAATTTGTTAAACACTAGATTGTCGCGGTGTTACCCGCCCCACGTCCACGTTATATCATTCTTAATCATGACCCACACTTTATATCAGATCACATAATACGGAGAGCTCAAGGTATCGCATGGAACCGTCTTTATATTGCAGACTGATAATACTCGCAGATTTTAACAGACATACTGTTAAAAGACTGAGTCTTAGCATTTTTCGAATAGTATACACACAAGGAATTAATTTAATAGTTTTTATTTTAAAATGTTTACTTAATACCGACATTAAATTGCTACGTTATCTTCTTTTTATATGGAACCTTTTGTGTTGAAATACACGATAACATAAATTTTATGGTTTGTAAAAAAACAAATACAAAAACTATTATCAACGCAACGAGGTCTAAAAACATCTTCTGGTACCAAGGCACAAGTCGAGCTGGAGAACGATGCCATGGTGCTCCACCAGACCGTACCACATGTTCTACCCAGTGAACAAGTTCCTTTCCAGGTGGTACTGGACGATTGTGGTATATGAACGACGTCTCTTTTATTCTTTCATTGTATCTGTAAAGTGTAAAATCTTATTATTTAAGATCATGGCATTATGAAAACAGTGGGCTTTAAAAATAATGAATTGAGTATTTCTTGAAGGATCTACTAAACACTTACTTGGAATTATTGAGGATTTCGTTGATGGCGACTCTCAAATCTTTATCTACATTATTAGTCAAGATAACTTTTTTGGCGATGCCCCTTTGGACAGATTGTTCAACATTGAAAATTTGATCAAAAAAGACAGGGATTCCAATAAAAGGAACACCAAAGTGTACAGCTTCAGTTGTAGAAAGCAACCCACCATGAGTTATAAAAAGTATACAGTTATGATGAGCTAAAATGAAATAAGACATTAAGCAATTTACCGTTTACCATTTTTAGACATAAAAAGCCTTGCCAGTTCAGGGCCTAAACGCTAAGAGCAGCCCGGTTAATCCCGATCCTGAACGGCACCAATGAAATCGATAATTGCAGTTATGAGTACAGATTTACCACATGTTCGGCAGTGAAGGAAAGTATCGCGAGAAAACCTACACGTCTGAGAATTAAAAAAAATATGTTTTGAGGAGATGTGAAGTCTTCTAAAACGCAATGGGGCATTCCTTTGTCCTAAAACCGTCTCAGGCATTACTTATAAAATTGACTTTTTCTGATCACGACGGTAGCTGTAGATTACAAATTAAATTAAGGTTTTTATTTAAAAATATATAACTGTAACACTTTATTACCAAGAATGCTCTGTTGTGGCGCCCATTCCAGAAAGTGTACGTTCTTAGGCTTATTAGGTAATGTCTGTTCGATCTTCCATAAAACAATTTGGTTTAGCTCACCAAATAGTGTTAACAAATTATTTTTTACGTTCTCAGGAAGATCTTTGCTTTTTAAATTAGAACCCAAGGCGAAGTATATGACGCCATATTTTGCGTTGTCCATTATTCTTTTCAAATCCTAAATGAAACACAAAGAAAACGAATTAAACAAAGAAGTTAAGCAAAGTTGTTAGGGTAATTGACAGAATTAGGCTATACTTTGCAGGATTATTAATAGGTGTTAAAATTAATTAGGTAAGATCTGTGGGAAAAATAAAATGATGTGGCTTACGTCTGAGAGCTGGCGACGAATTTTGGGAAGGTCCTTTGAGCAAGTTGGAATTGTGAAAAAATATAATTTCGTCAATTGGCGAATCCGGTCCCGCGAGTCTGGCAGAGCGTTTGCGTTTATTTCGTTACTGCGCAGCAAATAACATTTGCAAAAAAAGTCCAAAAAATGTTTTTGTGGCAACTTGACTTCTTTTTTGTCTTTTAATTTAGTTTTTATATAATTCCAAAAAAATAATCCCAGACGTTTTTGTCGGTTATAAAGTATTACCAGACCTCTCCAAAAATATCTGTTTTAAATTCCCAAAGAATATACTTTTGGCAATCTCGAATTTTAATCACGTATTTATTGAGTAATTTTTAATAATACCTGCAAATCGCCAGACGAATTTAGCGGTTTTAAACAATTCCCAGACGTGAATAAAGTTTACAAATGAATACGACCAAAAAGTCTTATGCGTAGCCATAAGTCCGAGAAAGATAGCTTATCGAAGCATGCCGACAGCGGATGGGGGCCTAAGTTCCTAAGAATGGCTACGCATAAGACTTTTTGGTCGTATTAAAAACTAAATTAAAAGATAAAAAAGAAATCAAGTTGCCACAAAAACATTTTTTGGACTTTTTTTGCAAATGTTATTTGCTGCGCAGTAAAGAAATAACCGCAAACGCTCTGCCAGACTCGCAGGACTGGATTCGCCAATTGACGAAATTATATTTTTTCACAATTTCAACTTGCCCAAAGGACCTTCCCGAAATTCGTCGCCAGCTCTCAGGCTACTAGTTTGGAGAGCATCTCCCACCCTTCCTTAATTGCATACACTATCACCGTCATCACTAATCCTAACACCACTACCTGCAACATCACTACACTAAGGAAGATACCCTTTCAATAATACGACACGTGTTGCGCCTTTAAAGAGGCATCGGGATGATACCTCGTACTATTGTGTAGCCCAGAGAGGCTTTTTAAGCTAGGTAATACAAGACAGTTTTTTTTACATTTATCTTAGGTAATTAATTGTAGCATCTTGAAATAAAACATTTATGATTGTTTTATTACCTCAGGTAAAGGTTCTGTGTCATCATCTATGTGATAACCTGCTATCGGTATATAGTTCTGTGGTAGTCTTATTGCCTGTCCAAGAGACACGTGAGAGTTGCCCAGTACCATAGATGCGTTGTATCTAAGCTCATCGTATGATGGTAGATTTCTGCCCCGTCTCTTGACGATTGGAGTAAAAGTTTTCTCATAAAATTCCTTTTCTATATTTTCATAGAGACTATAACACATAAAAAAATATTTATTACATTTATAAATAGTTCACAGCATCGTCTTGAGGCGTCTAGAAATATATTAATAAAAAAGCTAACTATATGTTTTTATTTATAACTTATTTAGTATCCATAACGGGGTAGAGCCTAGATGTAAAGATCACGTTCTCAAACGAAACAAATAATTCATTTTATTCTATTCATTACAGCCATTCACAAGTTGACTGCAGAACATAGGCCTCTCCCAAGGAATGCCACAATATTTAGGTCCCACCGGCATCCATCTCTTTCGGCAAAAGTCTCAAACTACTGAGCACACCAAGCTTTCCGATGCTAGCTGAGGCAACGAGGGGAGTGCCCTGAAATCGAGGAGATACTACAAAAGGGTTCTTTTTTCCGGTAAACGCGCAAACCTGTGTCTTTTGGGGGTTAAACTGGACTAGATTTAGTCGATCCCAATCTGAGACTTTCTTCACCAAAGTCTCGACTTAAGGCACAAGTTTGTTCCAACACGCAACGACGTGTTCCAGAGAAATATTAGTTTCTAGCCAATTCTCCCAATGTGCTCCGATTTTGCCCTAACGATAACTCTTTTGAAGAACTTCTTTTTATTACGTGGTAGAGTCATGCTGCAGCTATATTAATAGTATAGTTGTAGCATGAATGGGTCAGCTCGACCGGGGAAGGACTACGCAAGCTTAACGCTGCTGTGTTTCGTATGGTGAGTGTAGAGAACCGGGGCCCTTTTTACTGGCAAAGAGGCATTCCATCTTAGTCCTCACTGGTGACAACGCATCTTCATCTTGAGTCTTTATTGAGGATAGATGTAGATGTCTATGGGTCACAGTAACCACTTACCATCAGGTGGACTGTGTGCTCGTTTGACACCCTATCCTATAGATATATATATATATATATATATATATAAAGTACCAGAAGGTGGAGTTGTAGTTCTTTTTGAGTGCTTAGCGCATCCTGCCTGCCTGTTTGCATTCCAGACCTTGTAACACTCCTATTTTTACCGCGACGCGATTTTGCAGGAGCGTCCAAAACAAGGCTGGGATCTGCTACCAATAAACACTTCAGATGACGGGATGAACAGTGCTATTCCCTGAAGCACCACATCGGTCACAGACTCAGAAACGATGTTGGGTTCACTCAGCGAGAAGCAAATCCGCCGCCACCGCCATGGGTAGAATGCAAAAAAAGCCCGTATCCCATCCCAATTCGCTGCCCTATAGTGCCACACACGGAAGCAACCTGCAATGAGCATGTGATGGGTACCATGCGCTGGATAAGGCACCCAAGAGGGACATAGACGTAAAACTGGTAGCCGTCCGGATGAGAAGACAGCAGGAACTCCAACAAGGAAGATGTGTGTCCACATCTGGAATCTGCGTGGGCGAAGTGATCAGCTGTGTCAGACCATATGCAAAGGCAAAGTCGTAAACAGGTTATAAGATTATCCCTACTTGGTATTCATTATTGTCTATGATCAACTATTATTTAGATCCCATTATGAGTAAGTCTAGCTCAAGTATATTCATTCAGAAAGATCAATCTTAACGTTATGGTAATATTATACTTACAGGATTTGCTTCAAATTGCTTAGTACTTGAAACCACAGAGCATAAGCACGTTGCCAAAAGTTGAATGGCGGCACATCGCTAACCTGGATATTCGCGGTGTATGCAGGGTTAGTAGCTTCATCGATTAAGCCGAGGCTGACGAAATTAGCTTCGTATGGAAAAGACCATATATATGGACAGTTAAAAACTGCTGAAAATCTACAAAAAAATATAATTAATAAAAAGGTCCTTCAAAAGCAATTTTTTTAATTTATAAATTAAAAAAAAAAAAAAAAAAAAATATATAAAATAATCCATCCATTCCATTAATTAAGGCCTATAAAAGTCCACTGAATATAGGCCTCCCCCATAGATATTTTCTATAGGAGAGGGGGCAAATGGGCTTGCGGCTCACCTGATGTTAAGTGACTACCACCGCCCATGAACAATTGCAACACCAGGGGAACCAGGGGAATTGCAGATGCGTTGCCAGTTCTTTTCTTGAAAATCCCTCGTCGTAAAGGTCCGGGAAAATCGCTGATGGTAATTGATTCCACAAGGAAGTTGTGCGAGGAAGAAAACATCTTCTAAATCGCACAGTGGTGGACCGCCAATCATCCAGATGGTGTGGATGGTATCGGGAGTTCTGCCGCGATGTGCGTTCATGAAATTTGGCGGCTGGGATTAATCCGAACAATTGCTCAGAGCACTCCCCGTGGTAAATGCGAAAGAAAATGCAAAGGGATGCAACATTTCTTCGCAATGCCAATGAATCGAGCCGATCGGAAAGGAGGAAACTCGGTCGTCGACGATTCGAGCCGCTCTGCGCTGAATGCGGTCAAGTGAAAGGAGCTAGCACTGGGGTGCCCCGGCCCAGAGATGGAAGCAGTATTCCATGTGAGGCCGAACCTGCACCTTGTAAAGTTGCAAGCGGTGTGCCGGCATGAAATACTTTCCCGCTCTGCTGAGCACGCCAATCTTTTTAGAGGCCAATTTGGCCTTCTCTTTCAAGTGACCACGAAACTGTACGTCACTCGATATGTCGACGCCGAGGATTCCGATACTGGCTGAGGCAACAAGGGAAGTGCCTTGAAACTAAGGAGATACTACAAATAGGTACTTTTAAGCGGTAAACGAACAAACTGGTATCTTCTGAGGATTTGAAATGGTCTAGATTTAGTCGCCCCCAATACGAGACTTTGTTCAGCAAAGACTCGACTTCAGACACAAATTTGTTCCGGTACTCGGCGATGTTTTCCCGAGAAATATTGGCACGGCCGGTGTATACAGCATCAGCAGTGCTGTCATCCGCATAGCAATGAATGTTGCCAGTTTGCAACATATCATTGATATGCAGAAGAAACAGCGTTGGTGATAGCACACAGACTTGTGGAATACCAACGTTAATAGGCTTGTAGTCGGAGAAAGCACCGTCTACAACGACATTGATGCTCCGATCTGCAAGGAAGCTGGTGATCCAATTGCACAATTTCTCGAGAAGCCCATAGGAAGGGTGCTTCGAAAGAAGCGCTTTATGCCAAACCCGATCGAAGGCCTTCGCAATGTCCAAACTAACGGCCAATGCCTCCCCCTTGGACTACATTACCCCATTTTGCCATAGTTGTCACTGCAGGCGGCTTGGCAACCGCAAGTTTTAATTATTTTGAGTTGTTGCCATGAAGATACTGCAGACCATCCCTTGTTTTAGTTTCCCTTTGGTGCCTCTTACGACACCCACGGAACAATATGGGGTACTGGATATTCTTACACCGCCACTACACGGTTAATAAAAATAATAATTTTATAAAAACTGTTATGCTTATCCTTCTTTAAAAACTACAAAAAGACATAAAACAAACAAAGGAAATTTTTAGGAGAAGACATACCTTGATCATTGCATTATAATAAATTCAAAGGAAACACTGGAAGCTACTTTTTTACGTGGTAGAGTCATGCTGCAGCTATATTAGTAGTATAGTTGTAGTACGAATAGGTCGGCTCGAGCGGGGAAGGACCATGCTCACACAAAAAACCAGGGTAATTTTTTTTTATAGGATCGAGCGACAAACGAGCACACAGTCCACCCGGCAAGTGGCTACTGCGATCTATAGACATCTACATCTATCCTCAATAAAGACTCAAGATGCAGATGCGTTGTCACCCGTGAGGACTAAGATGGAATGCCTCTTTGCCAGTAAAAAGGGTCTCCGGTTCTCTACACTCACTATACGAATCACAACAGTGTCAAGCTGCCATTTTACGCTGGTATTATGTGAGAGCGTGGTCCTTCCCCGGTCGAGCCGACCCATTCGTGCTACAACTATACTACTAATATACCTGCAGCATGGCTCTACCACGTATAAAAAATAGCAGCTTAATGCTGCTGTGTTTCGTATGGTGAGTGTAGAGAACCGGAGACCCTTTTTACTGGCAAAGAGGCATTTCATCTTAGTCCTCACGGGTGACAACTCATCTGCATCTTGAGTCTTTATTGAGGATAGATGTAGATGTCTATGGGCTACAGCAACTACTTACCATCAGGTGGACTGTGTGCTCGTTCTTCACCCTATCCTATATAAAAAAAAGCATTGGCATGAAAGCTGAAAAATTATACCCGCAATAGATGTCATTAAACATCCACTCCGCTACGACAACATCAAACTCCTCCGAAGCATCGTTAAGTAATTTTTGTACCGCTTCATTGTCTAACGTATTTTTCGTTAAATTTATCGACAATTGAAAGAGGCGATCTTGATCCAATTCCACTTGGTGTGACATTAACGCTGTTACATTTAGTGATTGGCCTGTAATAAACAAAATATCATTAAAAAATCTTTATTCTCCTCAATCTAATTCTTCATATGCCTTATATCAGAAAGGTCACTCTTTGATTACGAACATGTAGTGACACTATCATAAACAGAGCGGAGTTATGTTACTAAACAAATGTAATGTTTCAACTAATTATCACATTGGTTACAATTGGTAAAATTAAAAAAAAATTACAAGCAACTTCAAAATAAACGTAATTTATTGTTTATTTTTTTTAAACTACTCGGTCAATTTCGATAAAATTTAAATGAGACCACCTAGGAAATAAAAACTAAATTTGCCAAATCGGTCCAGGCGTCTTCGAGTAATCGGTGAACATACATAAAAAAGATTCCGATGAATTGTAAACCTCCTCCTTCTTGAAGTCGGTTGACAAATGGATCTTTTCTACCGATTTCTAAAAGGAGGAGATCCTCAATTCGACTGTATGTTTTTTCTACCGACTTCAAAAAGAAGACGGTACTCAATTCGACTATATGTTTTTTTTTACATAACTTTTTACTGGCTTCACCGATTTCGATGATTCTTTTTTTTATCTGAAAGCTGGTGTTTCTCAAGTGGTTCCACATAAATTTGATCAAGGTCTGACCAATAGCTTTTGAGTTATTCTTAATAATTTATATTGAAGTCGGTTGTACAAAATTTTAAATTATATGGAATTACATGCACACTGATTATAGCCACGTAGGTTCATTTTTATGTGTAGTAAATTAATAACATGTCTTCACATGGTCACTATAGTTAAGAAAGATTGAAAATAGTCAAAAATAATAAATAAATAATTTAAAATTAAAAATTTTGTACAGCCGACTTCAATATAAGTTATTTAAGAATAACTCAAAAGCTATTGGTCTGACCTTGATCAAATTCATGGGGATCACATGAAAACCATCAGCTTTCATATATAAAAAGAATCATCGAAATCGGTTCACCCAGTAAAAAGTTATGAAGTAACACACATAAAAAAAAAAAAAAAATACAGTCGAATTGCGGACCGTCTCCTCTTTGGAAATCGGCAGAAAATATTAATAAAGGTTTGCTGACCCTGCCGTGCCGTGTAGTGGCGGTCAAGAATATCCACTACCCCATATCTTCCCGTGGGTATCGTAAAAGGCGACAAAGGGAGGCAGGCAGGAGATGGGCAGCAGCATCTTCCTGATTACAACAAATTTACAATAAAAAAACTGCGGTTGCCAACCCGCTCGCCAAGCGTGGCAACTACGGCAAATACCCCCCTATGAAATGACAGTAACAAAGAAACGGCCCCCAGTCCCCGGCGGCCCCGCTATTCCTGGCTACGGTGGCGACCATGGTAACGGCAGGGAAGGGGCTGCTAAGAATCTCCGGTGGAGGTTCGGTTGCCACCTATGATGACTCGACCTGGCAACATACAACGCACGCACCCTGATGACTGGCGAGACGATTGTGGAGCTGGAAGAAGAGATAGACAAGTTATGCTGGCATATTATAGGATTATCCGAAGTCCGAAAAGAGGGGCAGGACACGGTAATCCTCGAATCCGGCAACTTGTTCTATCACCGGGAGGGCGACCATCTGTTCCAAGGAGGTGTCGGATTTATCGTCCACAAGTCTCTCGTTAACAACGTTGTAAAGATTGAGAGTGTGTCGACGAGGGACGAGGGACGACCTTATACTCAGAATCACCAAACGGTATTCGCTGAAGGTCATACAGGTTTACGCACCAACCTCGGCACACCCCGATGAGGAGGTGGAGGAAATGTATGAGGATATCTCTAGAGCTATGCATTCCTCCAAAACCCAATATACGGTGTTAATGGGAGACTTCAATGCAAAACTAGGCACAAGAGAGAACGGTGAGCTGAAAGTAGGGAAATTTGGAATAGGGCAACGGAACCCAAGGGGCCAGCAGCTGGCCAACTTCATGGAGAAAGAGGGACTCCTTATGATGAACTCTTTCTTCCAGAAGCGGTCCCACAGGAAGTGGACCTAGTCGAGCCCCGATGGTTCCACAAAAATGGGATTGACTTCATTATGACGACCAGACGACAACTGTTCAGTGATATCTCCGTGATCGCGAGGATGAAAACTGGTAGCGATCACCGAATGGTTAGAGACACACTGAACCTAAACGTCAAGTTGGAGAGTTCTCGTCTAATGAAGTCAACGCTCCGTCCCCCTCGTGCTCTGTTCCAAAGTCCCGAAACTTTTCAGCTTGAGCTACGAAACCGTTTTCAATGCCTAGAAGACTGCAATGAAGTGGACGATATGAATGACAAGCTCGTGGAAACTGTCTATGCGGTCGGAGCTATGTTTTGCTAGACCTGCCGCAGAAGAACACAAAAACTCTCCGATCACACTCTTAATCTCATGGCTGTTAGACGGGAGATGAAGCTACATTCTTCAACAGCTTTGACAGCATACAGGCAAATGAACAGACATCTCCAAATGCATGCGGCGGGATTTACGCAACTTCAATACAGCTTGTATTGAAGAAGCGATCGAGCGGAACCAAGGCTCCAAAGTCTTTGCACAAGATCTGTCTGCCAGAAAGATCCAACTGTCGAAGCTGAAGACCGAGTGTGGCAGCATCGGTTCCGGGGCACCTGAGATTTTGAGTGAGATTGAGAGGTTCTATGGGCAGCTGTACACGTCATCGTTGGAGCCACACGCAAGTGTGAGTAACGATCCAAGAGAGAGTCTTATCCGACACTATTCCGAAGATATCCTGGACGTCAGTCTGAGCGACATTAGAATGGCTCTCCAGCACCTTAAAAACGGCAAGGCCCCAGGCGAGGATGGAATTACAACGGAGCTTCTGAAAGCGGGTGGAAGGCCGATACTTGAAGTCCTTCAGAAGCTCTTTAATTCCGTCCGCATTACACCGGAAGCGTGGAGCAGAAGTGCGGTGGTCTTGTTCTTCAAAAACGCTCTCTTGAAGAACTACAAACCGATTTCCCCTCTGAGCCGCGTCTACGTACTGTTTTCGAGAGTCATTACGAGTCGTCTCGCGCGCAGGCTTGGCGACTTCCAGCCTCCCGAACAAGCCGGTCTCCGAATGGGCTTTAGCACCATAGACCACATACATACCCTTCGGCAAATTATACAGAAGTCCGAAGAGTACAATTTGCCACTATGTCTGGCGTATGTGGACTATGAGAAAGCCTTTGATTCCGTCGAAATTTGGGCGGTGCTGCAGTCCCTTCAGCGGTGCCAAGTTGACTGTCGGTATATCGAAGTGCTGAAGTGTTTGTACAGTAGGGCTACGATGGCTATCCGAGTACAGAACTAGAGTACGAAACCAGTCCGATTGCAGAGAGGTGTAAGACAGGGTGACGTCACATCCCCGAAACTCTTCACCGCTGCATTGGAAGACGTTTTCAAGCTTCTGAACTGGAAAGGATACGGTATTAACATCAGTGGCGAGTACATCACTCACCTTCGATCTGCCGACGATATAGTCCTTATGACAGAATCGCTGGAGGACCTAAGCACCATGCTCAATGACCTCAATAGTGTCTCCCAACGAATAGGTCTTAGGATGAACATGGACATAACAAAGATCATGTTTAATGTCCATGTCACACCTATGCCAGTAGTTGTTGGGAGCACTAAGCTCGAATTTGTTGACGAGTATGTTTACCTGGGACAAATAGTCCGACTAGGTAAGTCCAACTTCGACCGAGAGTTCAATCGACGGATACAACTCGGCTGGGCAGCGTTCGGGAAACTACGACACATCTTCTCATCAGACATACCTCAATACCTTAAAACGAAATTGTACAAACAGTGCGTGTTGCCAGTGATGACTTACGGATCTGAGACGTGGTCCTTCACTGCTGGCCGTATGAGGAAGCTCAAGGTCGCTTAGCGAGCTATGGAGGGGGCTATGCTCGGGGTTTCTCTGCGTGATAAACTTAGAAATGAGTATATCCGCAGTAGAACCAGAGTAACCGACATAGCCCAACGGATTAGTAAGCTGAAGTGGCAGTGGGCCGGCCATATAGCTCGAAGAACCGACAACCGATTGGGAAGAAAGGTTCTTGAGTGGCAGCCGCGTACCGGTAGGCGAAGTGTAGGGCGGCCCCCCCACGAGATGGAGTGACGACCTGGTAAGACATGCAGGAAGTCGATGGATGCAGGTGGCTCAGGACCGTGCTTTGTGGCATTCCTTGGGGGAGGCCTATGTTCAGCAGTGGACTTATGAAAGGCTGTAATGATGATGATGATGATGACCCTATTGTACAAATAAGTGTGAATATTGATCTTTACTAGACTCTTGCATATCTTGCAATAGATTTGAAGTACTGCGACAATGGTTTGGCATTCTGGCCGCGGCGCTGTGAATCGTGGCTCCGATTCTCGCATGCCACAAATATTTCTTCCTCTTCATTGTCAGCTCGTTATCACCCATTACTGGACGTCGACCTCTGCCGTTGAAAGTACGATTTGCCTCCATTGCCACACTTAGAAGGTGGACTGGTGATCGCAGGTCCAGACATCTCGCAACTTTAACTCTACTTCCCGCTCTGACTTGAGTACTTTCCGCCTGGCGTAAACGAGACGGCATACAACCATTATACGTGGTAGAGCCATCTGCAGTTATATTATTGTTGTAGCGCCTATGGGTCGAACCAGCGTGAATTAGTAGCTTAATGCTGCTGTGTTTCGCATGGTGAGTGTAGAAAACTGAAGAAACTTTTTACTGGAAACGAGGCATTCCATCTTAGTCATCAGGGTTGACGCCGTATCTGCATTTTTTATTATTAATCAAGGATATATGTAGGTGTCTATGGCCCTCAGCATCTACTTTTCATCAGGTGAACTATGTGCTCGTTTGTCACCCTTATTCTATTAAAAAAATTAACGGAAGAAACTTAGACTAAACTTAGAAAACTAGCTTCGTTTTCTAGTATGTCATAATCAGCAGGAAATAAGAATTGAATATTTATATTCATAAATCGGTTAAAAGTTGAAAAAAAAACATACCATTAATAGCTTTAAAATTATCAGCAACACTTATCTGCCGGAATTTCGGGTTAGAGTTTTCCTTGACAAATGGGGTGATGTATGTGACCTGCACAATAGATTATTTATATAGCTACATTGAAATAGTTTTAATAAAATAAGATAAATCGAGCTAACAGTTCACCAGATGGTAAGTGGATACTGCAGTTCATGATCTTCTGCAACAAACTTCACACAATACTCATAACAATACTACACCAATGCTAAGTTAGCTCTCATAACTAACATGAAATGTGTAACAAACTGTAATCATACTAGCTTCATCACCCTTCACACGGGAAAGCAACAGCAGGGCTAACATGAGCAGGAGACAATTTTAACCCCGTGGAAAGGAGAAAATGTTTATCGCCTCGCTTAGTTTTATCCACCCTTCGAGCATGGGCACAACGGTGGATATAATATCCACAGTATATAAAATGCGAGATAGACTTAGACTTAGATAGACTTTTTGTATGAATACATAAACTTACACCCACGACCAATGAACTGGGATAAAATTTCCCTTTCAAATGTCAAAAAGGTATAATTTTTTACCTTTCATATAGCTCCATGCTACGGACGGGGGATATATGTCTACTCGTTATGTCAAACGGGGATATACTTCTCCCTGATGCCATGCTTTGGCATTTTTTTAAAGGATAGGGTGACAAACGAGCACACAGTCCACCTGATGGTAAGTGGTTGCTGTGACCCATAGACATAAACATCTATCCTCAATAAAGTATCAAAATGCAGATGCGTTGTTACCCGTGAGGACTAAGATGGAATGCATTTTTTTCAGTAAAAAGGGTCTCCGGTTCTCTACACTCACCATTCAAAACACAGGAGTGTTAAGCTGCTATTTTACGCTGGTATTCTGTGAGAGCGTGGTCCTTCCCCGGTCGAGCCGACCCATTCGTGCTACAACTATACTACTAATATAGCTGCCGCATGGCTCTACCACGTGCAAACGTGGCATAAGGACAAGACAATTTTATCGCTTGTCAGTGGATATAATCGGGGGATAAATCTTTTTTCCCCCAGCCCATGCCAGCCGTGCAGTAGGTGACCATCAACAGAGCATATAGGCGGAAAATGAGCCCTCACTTTTTGAAAATTAACTAAAATATCAATGTATATATAAAAATAAAGCATCCAATAAAGTATATTAATGTATTAAAAATAAAACAAAAGAATAACTAAGGCAATATTATTAATTTAAATACGAGTATTATGAGGCAATATGGAAGAGACCTGTGTACAGCAGTAGACATATTTGATAGGATGTAATGATATGCTGATAATTTAGAAAACCACGAAAAGCTGACTTAAACAAACATAAATACCTCGTGCCCAGCTTTCAACAGATGTCGGACATATCCGTCACCAAGATTTCTGTGACTTCCAGCGGGTATAGGAAAAACAACTAAAATTTTATATCCTTCACTAACAGACAATGTAAGTAAAATCCACCAATATGAATACATTTTTGTAAATCTGTTTTTTTTTTGCTTATAAATTATTACAACATACTTGTATGTATATGTTTAAAGTATAATGAAACTAACTGATACAATTTATAAACTACTTATCAAAAGAGCGGAATAATTGCTGATAACATATCTTTTGTATGCGGAATAGACACAAATTTACAACCGTACTCGCGTTGGCTCAAGATTTAATATCGGTCCATTGATTAATATTTAATGGGTTCCGGACTGAAAATTCTCATTTAATTATTTTGTCCAATGATTTTTGATTACCCTCACATTTGCTTAAATTTGTTATTATTTTTAATGTTTTTATAAATGTTTAGATGCGAGCACACAGTCTATCTAATGATACGTGGATGTTGTGATACATATCCATCATCGAACAACAATTTAGAATCAAATTGCAGATGCCTTGTCTCCAGAGGATTAAGACAAAATTGTATTGTTACCGTTTTTTTCCTCTGCTTTGAGTTCTCCAGGTATTGTTACTTACTATACGAAACACAGTAGGCCAATGTTACTTCTCCTTCAACAGCTATTAAAAATACACTGCTGGATATTAGCCTTAGTCCCAACAAACTAGTAGCTATAAATAGCTCCCAATGTATGGAGCGGACCGAAGGTACGGACCAAAAATTAATATTCAAAACCTGAAGGTAGCCTAGGAATGTTTCAACAAACTAGTAGCTATTCATAGCTACTAGTTTGTTGAAACGTGATCCTTCCCAGGTCGAGCATAAAATAATACTTTCACTACTGATATATATGCTGCAAAGTCGTGCTCAAATTTTAGAAACATTTTCATAAGATCATATAAAGAAAGACTTATTTGATGGCATTGTATGGTGACTATGGCAGTTAAATCAAGTGCTGAACTACTTAGAAACGAACTGTTACATGCTGTATTTATTAGCCTTAGTGCTGCACTGCCTCTTAATTATGTTGAATTAGCCTTAATGTTCAGTGAGTATCGCAGTGGAGCAGTTCGGCCACAGCAGCCTGTTTGGAACGTGCTCGGTTATTTACGGACTTAAGTTAAATTCGAACCAATTTATAAGATACCAGCTGTACCCCGCGGTTTCACCCGCGTTCACGTGTCGGTGGTGCGCGACATGACCTAGTTCAAGCATATTATAATTGCAATTAAATATTTTATTTGATAGCAATGGATGTAAAAATTGACATAATTAATGGAGTACTTTTATCTGTCGGCATATTATGTATGATGTAGAGTGAAGGTAAGTTTTATCCACTTTCCCTCCCCCTCCCGATTGAGCGTTCTCCCCCCCCCCCTCTCCCCCACGTTCTCACCGGGCGACTAGGGTTTATGCGTCGTTCGCGCGCCCAGCAAAGTATTGAATTACTTTAATTTTACATTATCTCTTAAACTATGCGTCCAAATAACATGGTATAAAGAACAAAGTTTATCTACATAAAATTGTCTTGATGATGAAGTAATTTTCGTTCGTAAGGATAAATAGGCCATGCCTAATAATAACGCTCATAAATCACTTTTAAATTTTCAATATTTTTTGTCACAAAATACCTATTTATGGCTCATGTATAAGAAATAGACATATGGTATCGCGGACTCTTTTTTAGACGGAGTACAGATCTATATTTTTCTAGAACATTGTATTTACATATCCCTTACGATAACACCAGCGTACGCGGATAAATCATTTCGGGAGTGCTGCTTTTTCTTCTGACTTGCTTAACAAATATCCATATTTAAGGCTAGCTGAGTGATATAGCTTAATGCTATATAGCCTATACTATTCCACATGAATCTGGCTATAATATCCAAAAATAATTTTTCAAATCGGACTGGTAGTTCCAGAGATTAGCGCGTTTAAACAAACAAAAAAACAAAAAAAACTCTTCCGCTTTATTATATTAGTATAGATAATACATTTATACTGTAATTAAATATTAGTGTTTTAAATAATTGTTTTTTAAAAAACCAGCCCGTCTCCGTGTAACAGAAAGTTTAATACCTAAATTACAGTCGGGTTTCCGCAGCGGTCACGGCACAGAAACTGCACTTTTATATTCACAGAAGACTTGACTTCGTATATGAAGGTGAGTAAATATATTGATATGACTTCATTATTCTTAAGCAAATGCTCTGTTGCAACCTGCATTACTTTAGCTAACTTAAGCTGCTGTCTAAGATCTATAAAAACCCGCGTGAAAAAACATTTAGCTGACGTGAAGCACTGACGCTCCAGGAAATTCACAGTTTGTGAACATGTTCAAGGTGGTCATTAAATCAGATTTGATAGATCAGAAATCCTCGCAAGGAACACCGATTCCTACCAAGGATGATACGCAAAGTTATTGAAATTAAATAAAAAACCGGCAAAGTGCGAGTGGAACTCGCGCATGAAGAGTTCCGTACCATTATAAAACAAGTTTCTAGAAGGGGAGCCACCCTTTAATTTTTAATTAAATTATTTTTTATTTTTTGTTATATATCGGCAACAGAAATACACATTCTCGCGCGCTAACAGACAAACGAATGGGTGGACGGACGGATAGTGGGGGCTTAGTAATAGGGTGCCGTTGGTTACCCCTCGAGTACGGGACCCCAAAAACATCCTAATTTCTACAGAGAAGATGAATGGGTGCTGCCATCTGCTTGGGATCGTACAATTAACAAAATTCAATCCAGTCCCAAGCATACCACTGCAAGTCTTCAAGATACTGTAAGCTTGTTCTGCGTAGTAGTTTATTTTTAGTGCGTTGTAGAAATTTGTACTGGGTATAGCCTTGGTGCAGCTATTATTATGATTGTAGCATGAATGGGTCGGCACGACCGGGATAGGACCACGCTCTCACAGAATACCAGCGTAAAATAGCGGTTTAATGCTGCTGTGTTTCATATGGTGAGTGTAGAGAACCGGAGAAACTTTTTACTAGATACGAGGCATTCCATCTTAGTCTTTAGGGGTGGCAACGCCATGGGACACAGAAGCCACTTACCATCAAATGTGCTGTGTGCTCGCTTGATGGTATTCTAGGTTATTCTATAAAAATAAGGTCGGACCAAAAATAAATATTCAAAACCTGAAGGTAGCCGTGCTAAATATATCGAACCTCTCGGTCGCCCCGGGACCATGAGTGGTGTAAAGCACCCGAAACGTCGAGAATTAGAAACAAGTAAATTAAGCACGATAAAATTAGTTTTATACAATGTGCAGTGTTCGCGTGAATATAAGAAATTATTATATACCAGCTGTTCCCCGCGACTTCGCCCGCGCGTAATTTATTACGATTGGATTTCATGCGTTTTAGTTTTTGGCGCCGAACCCTAATTCTTTTTCTAAAATAGAAGTAGCCTAAGTTACTTCTTATGACATCAGCTATCTGCCAGTGGAAGTCCCGTCGAAATCGGTCCAGCCGTTTCGGAGATTAGCCGGAACAAACAGACAGACAGACAGACAGACAGACCGACAGACAGACAAAAATTTTTAAAATTGTGTTTTTGTTATAAGTACCTTATATACTTTCATATGCATTTAGTAAAAAGCTGGTATTTTGACATTACAAACAGACACTTCAATTTTATTCATTTGTATAGATTGTACCTATATATTAGGAATGATAATACATTTATCTCAAGACTTTTCCGTTAGGAGGCACTATTGAGGTCATTGAGCATAATGCTTAGGTCTATGTCGTCTAGTATAGTAAGAATGTCGTCGGTAAATCTAAGGTGAGTGATGTACTTGCCATTGACGTTACCACCGTATCCTTTCCAATCCGGTAGCTTGAAAACATCTTCCAATGCAGGGGTGAGGAGTTTCGGGGATAATACGTTACCCTGTCTTTCACCTCTCTGCAGTTGGATAGGTTTCGTACTCTGGTTCTGTATTCGGATAGTCATCGTAATCCTACTGTACAAACATTTAGGCACTAATATGCCGACAGACAACTTGGCACCGCTGGAGGGACTGTAGCACCGCCCAAATTACAACAGAATCAAAGGCTTTCTCATAGTCCATATTGAACGGAGAATACGTTTGTACGTGGTAGAGCCATGCTGCAGCTATATTATGGTTGTGTCACGAATGGGTCGGCTCAACCGGGGAAGGACCACGCTCTCACAGGAAACCAGCGTAAAATAGCAGCTTAACGCTGCTGTGTTTCGTATGGTGAGTGTAGAGAACCGGAGACCCTTTTTACTGGCAAAGAGGCATTCCATCTTAGTCCTCACGGGTGACAACACATCTGCATCTTGAGTCTTTATTGAGGATAGATGTAGATGTCTATAGGTCGCAGTAGACACTTGCCGGGTGGACTGTGTGCTCGTTTGTCACCCAATCCTATAAAAAAAAAGAATACAAAGTGGCAGATTGTACTCCTCTGTCTTATGTACAGTTTGCCGAAGGGTATGTATGTGGTCTACGGTAAAGCCTTTTTAAAAACCGGCTTGTTCGGGTAGCTGGAAGTCGTCGAGTCTGCCTGCGAGGCGATAGGTGTGTTAGACTACTAGGTGTATTACGTAAGGTGGATACAATGACCAAAGTGTGATCAAATACTTGTGTTCTCTGTACAATACCAATGCGAAAGTATAACAAGATGCAATAAATAATTAACAAAAACAAATTCTTTAAAATTTTCAGACCTTTATGATAATAAAATAGAAAAGAGTTATTTCCAAGTTACGACTTTTCTTTATAAAATAGTAAAACAATAAACAGTAAGAAGCGAATACAAAGTAAATGATAATGACTTTAGCAAAATCATCGGAATTGCACCGACTGACGTCCGTACAAGAAGCCGAACTTTTAATTGCTGATTGTTTCGACGACAGTTGATAAAAAGGAGGGTTCTTAAATTTATTACAAATTGCGGCCCGCTAATTATTTTTACTGATAGATAATAAAAAGCGGCCTCGTGATTTCGCCTGCTCAGCCTCGCGCTTGACGACAGCTGTAAACCTTATACCCCAAAACTTGCGGCGATAAGCAACGCCTGTTCATATTTATCATTCGCCAAACAATCTATAGTACTTTTTCTACCAACTTCAATAAGGAGACGGTACTCAATTCGACTGTATGTTTTTTTATGTGTGTTACCTCATACCATTTTTTCTTGGTGAACCGATTTGGATGACTCTTTTTTTATTGGAAAGCTGGTGCTTCTCATGTGGTCCCATATAAATTTGATCATGGTATGACTATTAGTTTTTGAGTTATTCTTAATAATTTTGAAGTCAGTTGCACAAAACTTTTCATTTTAAATTATTATATTAGTTTATGCTTGTCATTAAAGCATTCATAAAGGTATCTTTTACTTGAAGTTGTGATTTGTCATCATAGCGCAGGAACATAGGGCTTCGTGGTTGCTAGACTGAGCGAGCGAGATCATTTCAGCGTCTTTTACTATTAGGTAAGAGTTTAAATAAAGTAGTGACAGGAAGGCTGTATAGTAAATACATTTTTTTTAATAATTCTTATCTAAAATGAATGTTATTTTATTTCCATTTGAGTAGTAATCTTCTAGTTGTAGTATCTTAAATTTTATACATTGTTCTATTTTTAATAAATTATCTCAGCTTACTGAGTGTGCCGTGCTTTATTATTTAATTCTATTAATTTTATAAAAGTTATAATCCTCATACATTAAACTTAAGTCTAAAACTTTATTTATAATCAACTTATCATTACTTATACCATCTTCAACCATTTCACTTCATATATGAAAATTTCAATTGTTTAACTGTAGATTTTTGACGCAAAATTCATAAATATTTTTTTTTTATTTATTGAACCGACAAGCAACATATAAATTGTGTAATGACATTATAAGTTGATAGTAATAGTTTTAAAGGAAAAGTTTATTTTATTCTTTTTAGCACATTTAAATAGAAGCTTGTTTTAAAAAAGGTTTTTTACTTTATCGCTGGACAGGTTTCTCAGTCTGATCATCTCATTCAACGCATCATGGTTGCAAGGTCGCGGTTAAATTCGAACAGTCTATCTCTTCAATAAGGAGACCTTCTAATGATTTTACCCTACTTAAGGCCACGTATGCTTGACCAGCAGCGAAGAGCTTCGAACCTAAGTATACAGCGGCATGGTTGACAGTACTACCCTGCATTTTGTATACTGTGCAAGCCCAACATAACATAATGGGCAGCATTCTTTGTTCTGCATTGCCGTGACTATATTTTGCTGGAAATTGTACAGTCTTGGGTTTAATGAGATGAACACCGTCTTTACCAAAGTCTATACGGACGGATGGTATGTCAGTATCATACATTTGTGCTCTCTGGAAGCAGGGCCATATAATTTCTGTAATATGTCCAATGGCACCATTCATCCTTTGGACAGTAAAAGTTTACCAACCAATGCTAGAGACTCGAGCAATTCGACTCTAAAAACTCCAGTACACCAACATTTCAGACGGATTGACATCATGTTACACCCTGATGCCACTCAGTCCTCGGCATGGCCTCACCTTGACTCGGGTGTTTGGAGGAATGCACTACTTATTTCAGCTTGAAGCTTTCTTGTGTCTTACGAAACCCAGTTCCAGGTTTGATTTTGGAGTTACCCTTCTCCTAGACAGGTTGTAAACCAATGCTGTTGACGTCTATCTCGCCAAATTACAAAAGTCAATGTTAACCAACCGATGCTACAGACTCGAACAATTCGACCTCAATATCATTATCGAGGACTGCAAAAATCCCAGTACACCAAAATCTCAGACGGATTGGAGCAAGTTTGGAGGTATGCCTAACGAGAGGATGTGTTGTAACCTCCCTAACGCTGTCTAGCAGAGTTTAATTTACCGATTAACCTCTCGGTCTCGGACTTATCTCTTTCTCTCTCTCCTTTTTACCGTGCACTGCTCCAAAATCACACTTCATTTGAAATTAGTTCAAGTGGTTTTTGAAACTAAAGTAACAATCAGTAGTAGCTACATAGCGCCCTTAGTGAAAATATTTGACTACAGTTATTATTATTAGCACTTTTTATAAAAAAACATGTGTGTAGTTCACACGCAATAGAAATGAAACCTTTCAATTAAATATTAAGTAAAAATACAGTTACAGCCTATTTATGTCCACTGCTGAACTTAGGTCTCCCTCATAGATCCCTTTATAGGGCCATTGGCCATTGTTGCCACGATTTGCAAGCGTGTTGGCAACCACAGTTTTTTATTTTTAGTTCTTATTAGCGAGACGCTGCTGCTCATCTCCTGGTTTATTTCCCTCTATCGCCTCTTATGATACTAACGGGACGATATGGATATTTTTTTATAGGATAGGGGTGACAAACGAGCACACAGTCCACCTGATGGTAAGTGGTTGCTGCGGCCCATAGACATCTACATCTATCCTCTATTACAAATCAAAATGTAGATGCGTTGTCACCCGTGAGGACTAAGATGGAATGCCTCATTTCCAGTAATAAGGGCCTCCGGCCACCTGCACTCACCAAGCGAAACGCAGAGGTTAACCTCTACTTCACGCTGGTTTTCTGTGAGGTCGTGGTACCACCCCGGTTCGAGCCGGCCCATCCGTGCGACAGCAAAAGCTGCCGCATGGCTCTACCACTGTTTGATATACTTATAAAGCCACTACACGAACTAAAATAAAACAAACTACTAAAATAAAAATGATTCACGGCAAATTATTTATTTAATATGATAATTTTCAACCACAACTGGAACATAAAATATAAGATAAAATTTATTAAGAAGTAAAATTTTATACTTTTGGCCTGTATAAATTTAGTGATTATTATTACCATTATTTATTCAAGAATATTTGCAAAGTAAGCATTACTTGCACATCTGACGTGTATAAATCTTGTTGTAGGCCTTGTCATAAGATAAATTACGTAACTATATTTTTATTTCGCTAGTTCCTACTGAATCGTACGATAATTAACACGCGTAATAAGTTTATTACATTTTATACCGTATACTGAATATTTATAGAGGTGAGTGTTTGTCTACTTTTCACACACAAAAATTTTTGCATATTATTTTCTAGTATTTCTAAAAATATATTTATTAATTTTAAAGTAAAGAGGTCACAATATTCAACTTAATGATAAATTACGAACATACAGAACGCAAAAAATTACGTTAAATAATTTAAAATTTAAAATTTTGTACAGCCGACTTCAATATAAGTTATTAAGAACAACTCAAAACTATTGGTCTGACCTTGATCAAATTAATATGAGAAGTATCAGCTTTCATATAAAAAAAGAATAATCGAAATCGATTCTCCCAGTAAAAAGTTATGAGGTAACACACATAAAAAAAAACATACAGTCGAATTGAGTACCGTCTCCTTTTTGGAAGTCGGCAGAAAAAAAGGAAATAGTTTTGTGAAAAACTCTTTAAAATTTAAGTGACAAATGAACTTTCTAGCCACCCGATGGTTCTTAAGCTGCAACCCATAGACACCTGCAATCAACTACAAACAACAAGGTTACAGATACTTTATTATTTCTGAATGCTCAGATGGAATGGCTCACAGTCTGTTATTGTGATAGCTCCCTATACTTTTAGACCAGAATACAGAATTGCATGCATTGCTGCTTGATGGTAGAATAGGTAAGAATGTGGTACCTACCTAGACAAATTTCTGGGCAAAAACGGAGTCTTAATACTTAGTAGTACTATTTCCAAATACTTTATTCGTCCACCTAGGTACCTACTTCTTATATTTTGTAAAAAACTTTATCTTTCTATAACCAAGTTACTAATCTTTTAAAATAATAGTATAATTTATATAAGGGAGTATATTTCAAACGAAATATTTCTGATCTTTGCTATTCACTACATTATTACTTCTTTTTTTGACGCAGATTTTATCGTTCGCCATTTAAAGCCAGAGGTCGGATTTAGAATTTGTTTGTAATGTGCTGTTTTAGCTTACTGTTAAATTTGTTAAAACTTTATGATATTTAAATAATTTCTTGTACATAGTTATATGATATATCATAATTTAATTCCGTCAAAGATATACTCTTTTGGCCGTAGCCTGTTCGTACCTTATGTATATGATACAGTCAAAACTCATAACCGATCAAAACCAAAATTAGTAAGGATGTTGGTCAAGACCACTTTTAACTGATTTTTGTAGTCAAAAGTAGTTTTGACTGAGGACGTTTGTCAAACCATTTTTTAATGCAAAAATATTGGTCAATACCACTTTTGACTTATACAAAGGTTTTCGAGTGGCAGTCTTGTACCGGTAAGCGAATTGTAGCCCCCCCCCTCCCCCTCCCCACTAGATGGACACCTCGTAAGACAAGCAGGAAGTCAATGAATGCAGGTGGCTCGGGACCGTGCTTTATGGCATTCCTTCGGGGAGGTCAATGTTCAGCAGTGGACTTGTGAAGGGTTTTAATGATAATAATGATGATATGTTCTAAATATGGGTTTTAGATATACATAGTCTTGTAGTGACGTTGTAAGAATATCCACTGCTCCATATAGTCCAGTGAATGTCGTACGAGGCGACATAGAAGAACAGCAGATGGGCAGCAGAATATTCCTGTTAACAAATTAAAATTATAAAAGACTGCGGTAGCCAACTCGTTTGAATTTTATTAAGCTTAGGTGGTTATTTATATGGCATTAAGTCATTAATAAAAAAAATATCTGCATGTGTGTCCGGACTTATCTTCGGAATGGCTGAACCGGATGAAACATCACGCACAGATAGAGAGCAGAGCCAGGAGTGTTCCAAGATATTTTTTTATTCGAAACGCCTGGACATTTTTTTGTGATTTATTAATATTGACAAAGGGTCCTTGGTAATTACCTTAAGTCTAAACGAAGATATTAGTGACATTAGAAGATACGAACCAGGCGAAGCCAAGACAGATCGCTAGTTACAAAATGATAAGCTATAGTAATTCTGTAATATATTTTGTTTTAGGAAATGGTATCACCGTTGAGGATATGTTTAGTAGTTTTAAGTATAGCAACAGCTTTTACTGAAGCGTACAATATTTTAGTGGTGTCATCTTTCCCAAGCAAAAGCCACGCCATTTTAGGTGATGCTTATGTCAATCTTTTGCTTGATGCTGGTCATGAGGTAAGCATTCTTCTAATTTTAATAAACAGAATAAGACATTTATTATCTTTACGAATTGTGTTTTCCTAGATAACAAAGAATTACAGTCTGCTTCCTATATCTTGAAAATATAACGTGGGTGGTAGAGTCACGCTGTAGCTTAATCTATACATATAAATAAAATTGAGTGTCTGGCTGTGATATAGAATTAACTGGGTTTTATTAAGTTCATAGATTCATTATATACACAGACCTATAACCGGCCAGATTTGCGCATAAGTTTCAGAATAAGTAATATGGGCAAATGGTGATTAAAACTTAAAATAAAAAAAAAAATCTCTAACATTCTGTCCTTTTTATTTTTTAAATTCAAAATGCGTGGTAATGCATTATAACTGTTTACATTTTAATGCACACGCACACATTTGTAAGGGTCGATCGGTAGGCAAAAACTCTGTTGCCCATAAATCACATTCAATTTGGGATAATTTCAAATAAAAGTAGAAGCCTTATTTACGTATATTTTTAAAACTGCAATAAAGTATGCCATTGTTTATATATTTGAACTTAAGATTAAAATTTGGCTACTCTTTGAAAAATAATCCTTTATCTAACGATATAAAAGAAGTGAGGGAGGTGTATCGAAGTCCGTAGGTCTTTTGTCTACTTCTCTGGGTGACAGATATTAAAGTTTAAGTATGTTAGTTATATTTATGTACAGATCAGTTCTTTCGCTAAGCATAATTCCTGCCAAATTCCCAGTTTTTTTTTAACTTCTTATATGTCAGTGAAATCCCACCTCAAAGTGGTTTTGAAGCCCTAGAGCGTTAATCCCACATAATAAACTCTTGACTTGATACGTAGTAGAGCCAGATATGTTACTGTAGCATGAATGGGTCGGCTCGACCGGGGAAGGGCCACGCTCTCACAGAAAACCAGCGTAAAATAGCACCTTAATGCTGCTGTGGTTTGTATGGTGAGTGTAGAGAGCCGGAGACTCATTTTCTTCTCAGCCTGCGAGACACTTAATGAATTAGCTTACTATACTCGTATGTGTGACCTGTAGGTACATCATTAAAAAAAAAACTGTTTCTATACTCATGTGCTGTAAGCCTATTCGCTAAGTTTGTTGATATCAAAATGATAGTCACTTTATAACTTTATAGTACATTGCGTCATATATTTTATAATACTTCTGCTCTTATATAAATCTATACCCCATACATACAATGTATCTCAAAGTGACTATCGGTGTCAGTGAGGCAGGTTAAATAATAAAAAAAAATTGGCCAAATGCCGGACCACGCACAATGTAGAGGTAGGGTTCCGTAGTTGCCCGTCACAATACGTGGGGTTTCTTGATAATGAGCATAATAAGTGAGTTCGCGGTTTTACCGCTATAACGAATAAAAATGAGCCCAATTAGGAAGATCGTAAATGAAGGACTTATTTTAAAATCACACTTATAGGGAGTGGTGTTCAAAAAAGATTAAAAAAAAACTTTTCGATTTTGTAAATAATACAATTTACATCAGATCATTCACATGCCAAAGTGCAGAGATGATCATAGTTGACTATCTATCGATATATTCCCGGCAGTGGAACCCAAAAAGAGATATACATATATGATCAGATAAAATAGTGGATTACCACGCATTTAACAGAATTATTCTGATTTTTTTAAATAAACTTTTCTTCACCATTTACGTACATTGCTTATTCTGACCATTCTCTGCAAATTAGACCGCTTATTGCAAAATAACCTTGTATTATTTGTCTACGCAAACAGGCTCGTTGATTGGTACATTTTATTTGGCCCATCTTCGATATATCGCCAATTCGGTCCTTAAACTTCCGTCTGCTAGTCATTGCCGACTGCTATTCACTTCTGCAATATGAATTTATCATATAATATATTGTAATCCGAAAAATAAAGCGCCAAATGGTATCTAATCTTAGAGTTAATATATTTTATAGTTATTATATTTTTTTACTAACCTTGACTTTGATTTTCAGGTAACATACATAAATGCTAACCCAAGTAATAACTCTAATCCATTGCTTCATGAAATTGATGTCAGTGAAATTAAAAAGTATTTAAAATGTAAGTCGCAATAAACCTCGAATATTAAAATGTTTGTCGTTCTTTTTTCTTATAGAAAGTACAGAATCATTGTAGTCAAATATTTTTACTAAAGATGTTATGAAGCTAATACATAGTGTGATCCAATTTCAAATAAAATGGTACTGGGGCTGTACATATTGAGAAAGAAAGAGACAGAGAGAAAAAAGGGGGGAGAATAATAATATCATTGCCGTTTTCTTCTGTTTCATCGGCTCATAAAAGTCCACTACTGGACAAGACTGACATGAGCTTTTCCCGGTGTAGGTCGGATTTGCCTTAACCGTAACACTTGGCACCTTTGACGCTACTGCCCGTCGCCGGTCTGGGTATTTTAAGTCTGGTATAAACGAGATTGTTATAAGGCATTAGTAATAATTACCCTATACCAAACGGTATCTATGTATATATGTATTGGATTTTAATATCTGATATTGGATCATCATCATCATCATTACAGCCTTTCATAAGTCCACTGCTGAACATAGGCCTCCCCCAAGGAATGCCACAAAGCACGGTCCTGAGCCACCTGCATCCATCGACTTCCTGCATGTCTTACTAGGTCGTCACTCCATCTCGGGGGGGGGGGGGGGGGGGGGTCACCCTACACTTCGCCTACCGGTACGAGGCTGCCACTCAAGAACCTTTCTTCCCCATCGGTTGTCGGTTCTTCGAGCTATATGGCCGGCCCACTGCCACTTCAGCTTACTAATCCGTTGGGCTATGTCGGTTACTCTGGTTCTACTGCGGATATCCTCATTTCTAAGTTTATCACGCAGAGAAACCCCGAGCATAGCCCTCTCCATAGCTCGCTGAGCGACCTTGAGCTTCCTTTTACGATATATATACCGACAGTCAACTTGGCACCGCTGAAGGGACTGCAGCACCGCCCAAATTTCGACTGAATCAAAGGCTTTCTCATAGTCCACATGCGCCAGACATAGTGGCAAATTGTACTTTTCGGACTTCTGTACAATTTGCCGAAGGGTATGTATATGGTCTATGGTGCTAAAGCCCTTTCGGAAACTCTCGAAAACAGCACGTAGACGCAGCTCAGAAGGGAAATCGGTCTGTAGTTCTTCAAGAGAGCGTTGTCACCTTTTTTGAGACCACCGCACTTCTGCTCCACGCCTCCGGTGTAATGCCACCATGGAGGACGGAATTAAAGAGTTTCTGAAGGACTTCAAGTACCGGTCTTCCGCCCGCATTCAGAAGCTCCGCTGTAATTCCATCCTCGCCTGCGGCCTTGCCGTTTTTAAGGTGCTGGAGAGCCATTCTAATCTCGCTCAGACTGACGTCCGGGATATCTTCGGAATAGTGTCGGATAAGACTCGCCCTTGGATCTTTACACACACTTGCGTGTGGCTCCAACGATGACGTGTAAAGCTGCCCATAGGTCCTCTCAATCTCACTCAAAATCTCAGGTGCCCCGGAAACGGTGCTGCCACACTCGGTCTTCAGCTTTGACAGTTGGCTCTTTCTGGCAGACATATCTCTGGCAAAGACTTTTGAGCCTTGGTTGCGCTCGATCGCTTCTTCAATACAAGCTGTATTGAAGTTGCGTAAGTCCCGCCGCATGCATTTGGAGCTCTGTCTGTTCAGTTGCCTGTATGCTGTCAAATCTGTTGAAGAATGTAGCTTCATCTCCCGTTTAACAGCCATGAGATTGAGAGCGTGATCGGAGAGTTTTTGTGTTCTTCTGCGGCGGGTCTTGCAGAACTTAGCTCCGACCGCATGGACAGTTTCCACGAGCTTGTCATTCATATCGTGCACTTCATTGCAGTCTTCTAGGCACTGAAAACGGTTTTGTAACTCGAGCTGAAAGGTTTTGGGACTTTGTAATAGCACATGGGGGTTGCTACCAGTTTTCTCCCTCGCAATCACGACGGAGACATCACTAAAAAGTTGTCGTCTGGTCATCATAATAAAGTCAATCTCGTTCTTTGTGGAACCGTCGGGGCTCGACCAGGTCCACTTCCTTTGGGGCCGCTTCTGGAAGAAAGAGTTCATCATAAAGATTTCCTCTTTCTCCATGAAGTCGGCCAGCTGCTGGTCCCTTGGGTTCCGTTGCCCTATTCCAAATTTCCCTACTTTCAACTCACCGTTCTCTCTTGTGCCTAGTTTTGCAATGAAGTCTCCCATTGTACTCGCCAAACGCTAATTTCGGGAATTGGCGCCAGGGGGCGCTCGGCGCGATGATTTCCTGCCGTTTGGGGTTCGCGCGATATGATTGGTTTTGGGCGCGTGTCGGATGTCGTCTTTGCGGCGCGTGACTAGAAGGGCGTGGTTGCGTCCAGTATAACCTCCATATAGTGTCGTTTTTTGTTAGCTAATTTATGCAACGACGAGGTGTTTTGATGTTCTAGAATTGAGTAATTGCGCGCGTCTAATTACTATCGAAGATTGTGTATCTAATATCGCCTCGAATTGGTTTGTCTAATTTGACCGGTCGTGACAAGAGGCTTGTATGGAATTTGTTTGATTAAAGTAAGCAGGAGTGTTATCAAGCCTGGGCTGCGGCTTCGGTGACTCGGGATGTAAACACCAGCACACTTAAAAAGAAGTATAACTTCGCCTCCAGGTCCTTCAAAAGAGTTATTGCCAAGGCAAAGTCAGAGCACATAGGCAGAATTGGCGAGAAACTAGTTCGCCTTCCTTCGGGAACCCGTGCATTCTGGTGTCTCGCCAAGGCTGTCCAAGGGAATTTCTGTAAGCCATCACTACCATCTCTGCACAGGGAGAACGACTCACTGGCCCAAGACGCAAAAGACAAAGCCGACCTTTTAGGCTCCCTTTTTGCGTCCAACTCGACTCTTGATGACGGGGGGAAAATACCGCCGACCATCCCGCGGTGTGAGTGCTCCATGCCGGATGTGCTATTCTCACAGCGCTCAGTTCGCAAAGCACTTCTCTCCCTGGACATCCAGAAGTCGAGTGGGCCTGACGGAATCCCCCAATTGTGCTGAGGACGTATGCTCTGGAGTTGGCACCGGTCCTAACGCGTCTTTTCCGGTACTCCTACTCCCAAGGCGTAGTCCCGAATTCATGGAAGACAGCTTTTGTCCACCCGATCCCTAAAATAGGCGACCGCTCAGATCCGTCCAACTATAGGCCTATCGCGATCACCTCCTTGTTCTCCAAAATAATGGAATCCATTATTAACTGCCAGCTCATCCGGTACCTTGAGGATCACCAGCTGATTAGTGACCGCCAATACGGTTTTCGTCGGTGTCGATCAGCTGGTGATCTTCTGGTCTACCTGACCCATAGATGGGCGGCGGCAGTAGAGTCCAAGGGGGAGGCGTTGGCCGTTAGTCTGGACATTGCGAAGGCCTTCGATCGGGTTTGGCACAAAGCGCTTCTTTCGAAGCTGCCTTCCTATGGGCTTTGCGAGAAATTGTGCAATTGGATCACCAGCTTTCTTGCAGATCGGAGCATCAAGGTCGTTGTAGACGGTGCATGTTCTGACTACAACCCTATTAACGCTGGTGTTCCACAAGGCTGTGTGCTATCACCAACGCTGTTTCTTCTGCATATCAATGATATGTTGCTAACTGGTAACATTCATTGCTATGCGGATGACAGCACTGCTGATGCTCTACACACCGGCCGGGCCAATATTTCTCGGGAAAACGTCGCCGAGTACCGGAACAAACTTGTGTCTGAAGTCGAGTCTTTGCTGGACAAAGTCTCGGATTGGGGGCGACTAAATCTAGTCCAGTTTAATCCTCAGAAGACACAAGTTTGCGCGTTTACCGCTAAAAAGAACCCCTTTGTCGTATCTCCTCATTTTCAAGGCACTCCCCTTCTTGACTCAGCCAGTATCGGTATCTTCGGAGTCGACATATCGAGTGACGTACAGTTTCGTGGTCACTTGGAAGAGAAGGCCAAATTGGCCTCTAAAAAGCTTGGCGTGCTCAGCAGAGCGGGACAGTATTTCATGCCGGCACACCACCTGCAACTTTACAAGGCGCAGGTTCGGCCTCACATGGAATACTGTTCCCATCTCTGGGCAGGGGCTCCCCAGTGCCAGCTCCTTCCACTTGACCGCATCCAGCGCAGAGTGGCTCGAATCGTCGACGACCGAGCCCTTTCCGATCGGCTCGATTCATTGGCACTGCGAAGAGATGTTGCATCTCTTTGCATTTTCTTTCGCATCTACCATGGGAAGTGCTCTGAGGAATTGTTCGGATTAATCCCAGCCGCGAAATTTCATGAACGCACATCGCGGCAGAACTCCCGATACCATCCACATCATCTGGATGATTGGCGGTCCACCACTGTGCGATTTAGAAGATGTTTTCTTCCTCGCACGACTTCCTTGTGGAATCGATTACCATCAGCGATTTTTCCGGACCGATACGACTTAGGGACCTTCAAGAAAAGAGCCTACTCCTTTTTAAAAGGCCGGCAACGCATCTGCAATCCCCCTGGTGTTGCGGTTGTTCATAGGCGGCGGTAGTCACTTACCATCAGGTGAGCCGAATGCTCGTTTGCCCCCTACCCTATAAAAAAAAATTCGTTGAAAGTAATTGCGCTAATTATATAGTGATTGCGTGTTAAAGTGCATTTGCAATATTTAATTTGCTTGAGTGGCCTGTTAATATAGTACGAAAGAACCTTTGTTTGTCGTGTGGAACGCGGAACTTTGTGACCCGAGAGAAGGTCACGTTCGGGTTCTAGAAATAACTGTTGCTAAGTGAAAACGGAAAGTTGAACTTTGAACAACCGTTCATTAATTGTGCCGTGGGTCACGTGTTTGATTTCGATGAACGTTGAATTAGTTGAGTTTAAAGTTAATTATATGTACAATAAGGTTGATAGACTGAAATAGTGAAGTGACGTCAACTACTACACACTAGTTACATGCACCTCACTTATCACCTGACTGGTACCGTGTGATCAACCTTACCTACGGAGATCGGTAAGTTATGCTTGCTTATTTGTCAGCCGTTTTAGAACATTTATCCATTGGCCATTTGGGCCCCGTCCTCTGTTGCTCGTCGAGGTGGCTACTGTGGGCCCAAACACAATCGACCTTTGTCCGGGCAACTAGGGGCGTGTACACCTATTAACACCGTATATTGGGTTTTGGAGGAATGCATGCCTCTAGAGATATGCTCATACATTTCCTCCACCTCCTAATCGGGGTGTGCCGAGGTTGGTGCGTAAACCTATATGACCTTCAACGAATACCGTTTGGTGATTCTGAGTATAAGGTACGCAACCCTCGTTAAATCTTTACAACGTTGTTAACGAGAGACTTGTGGACGATAAATCCGATACTTCCTTGGGACAGATGGTCGCCATCCCGGTGATAGAGAAAGTTGCCGGATTCGAGGATTACCGTGTCCTCCCCCTCTCTTCGGACTTCGGATAATCCTATAATATGCCAGCGTAATTTGTCTATCTCTTCTTCCAGCTCTACGATCTTCTCGTCAGTCCTCAAAGTGCGTGCGTTGTATGTTGCCAGGTCGAGTCGTCTTAGGTGGCAACCGAACCTCCACCGGAGATTCTTAGCACCCCCTGCCCCGCCGTTACCATGGTCGCTACCGTAGCCAGGAATAGCGAGGCCGCCGTGGACTGGGGGCCATTTCTTTGTTACTGTCATCATATATTTGCCTTAGTTGCCACGCTTGGCGAGCGGGTTGGCAACCACAGTTTTTTTTTATTGTTATCAGGAAGATGCTGCTGCCCACCTCCTGTCTGTTTCCCTTTATCGCCTTGTACGACACCCACGGGAAGATATGGGGTAGTGGATATTCTTAACCGCCACTACACGACAAACGGGATATTGGATATACAGAGTTATTTTTCAAAGAGTAGCCAAAGTTTAAACTTAAGTTCAAATATAAAAATAATGATATACCGTTATTTTAGTGCATTACTACGCATTTTGAATTCAAAAGATAAAAAGGACAAAATGATTGAGTTTTTAAATTGCACAAATGGAAGTCCGTAGTCTCTGCCTACCCCTCTGGGTTACAGTCGTGAGTGTTTGTATTGTATTTGTATGATTGAAAACAGTGTGCAAAATTTCATTGACATCAGTTCAGTAGTTTAGGAGTTCATCGCGAACCAACAATGTGACACATATTTTTATATATAAAGATATACACATTTATTTACATAACTATAATAAAAAAAAAACTAAAACTTGTAACTTAATTATTATACAGTCATACTCCCCGCGGTATCGTGCCAAGAACGCTGGCTGCGTTTAAAGTAAATAGAATTATTTAATTTTTGTGAAGATAATCCACTTAAGAATAATTATAAAAATTATTTTTTACATATAAAAATAAATACATACGGTTTTCAGAATGTGAGCAAGTGCCTTATTGATTTTGTAGTGGTTTAATACCATTAAAAACAATATATTATTACCAAAATGTAACCTATTGTAACTCCGTAGATAGAGGCGAACACAATTGAAATCAGTCAAGACATTTGGGTTAATGGAGTTCACAATGGACAATGCCGTGTAGTGGCGGTGAAGTATATTCACTACCACATATCCACTATCGTATCCACTACCGCGGGTGTCGTAAAAGGCGACAGTGGGAAACTAAAGCTAGAGATGGGCAGTAGCATTTTCCCTAAAGCCGAGCCTCAGGGACTAAGCGCACGCTGTAATTTTACAGTACCTGAACAACTCTGGTTCAATCCCCGCCGGCACCAAAGAAATTGTTAATTTTTACAAAGACGTGTGAAGTTTACAAAAACGTATTGGGGTTGCGCAGCCGACTTTTCCTAGCCCTAAAACCCTCTCAGAAATGAGAGGAGGCCTTTGCCCAGCAGTGGGACGTATATAGGCAGTTACTTTAACTTTAACGTTATAAATTAAAGAGTTGTGTTGGAGAAGAATATATATTATATATTAAATAATAAAATGCTAATAAATAAAGAATAATAAAAAACCTGCGGTTACCAACCCGCTCGCCAAGCGTGGCACGTATGAAAAATTCCTCCCTATGAGGCAGTCTATGGGGGAGGCTTACATATAGCAGTAGACTTTTATAAACTGTAATGGATGTAATGGAATGGACAAACTTACAAACATATATACATCAAGAGATTCCCAATTTTTTGATCGATTTACGCCTAACATTAGATTTATTCATTTCAATCTTGTTATTCAGCATATGCACAACAAAACCATTTATGCCAGCATGGTTTAACATTGAAAAAATATGATAAGAGGTCAACGTTTAGAGTTGCGGTACACAACGTATGTTCTTGCAAGTTTATCGACAACATGACAGAATAAATAATAGTACACAACATCAACTATGCTCTTGCTTTTGCTCTTCATTACCCTTCCTTTGTGGCAGTCGGCTAAAACTCCGTAGCTAAGCATAAAAGCACGTAATATGCCTCGATCACTCTGCAGAAATTCCTTTTGTAGAACTATAGTTTTACAACAAGCGATTTACAATTAAATATTAATATTTTTTTTATTTGTTTTGTTAGTTTGTTGTTTAAAATGAAAAACTTCGTTTAAACTTTTTTTTATTATTCTAGCTGATTTAATGAACCTAGAAAGAATATTGAACAAAGAATTTGATGCCAAAGATCAGAATGAATTTGTTGAAGCCCTTTTAAGTATATCTAAGGCAACGTTAGAGAATGTAGATGTAGCGAAAATTATATCTAACACAAACTTAAAATTTGACTTGATTATTGCTGAATGGATGTTCACCGAAGTATACGCGGGGTAAGATTATTTTTCAAATTATTCCATAAATATAGATTATAGACTACAATAATACTTATTGATAGTCATTTAAGTTTTACCTCTTATTTGGTAAAACCTCTGTCTTGGGAAATCACCATCAAGGAACACAGCGGAACTTTTAAAAAAAAATTACAATGTAATATTTCATACAATTGTTATGAAAACATTTTGAAACAGCATGGTAGCGATCACCTCATTCCCAGGGATTATTATCAATCATGTACTTTTATTAAACATTTGCTTAGTCAACATTTTAAACTTTTTGATGGATAAGACATGCATATTATCTGGGACTTTGTTGTAAGCGTATACATTGAGCACCATGAAGGAATTACTGACTCTGGAGTCGAGTACGTGGTTACGTGGTAGAACCATGCTTCAGCTATCTTATGGTTGTAGCACGAATGGGTTGACTCGACCGGGGTAGGACCACGCTCTTACAGAATACAAGCGTAAAATAGTAGCTTAACGCTGCTGTGTTTCGTATGGTGAGTGTAGAGAACCGGAGCTTTTTTTACTGGAAACCAGGCACTCCATCTTAGTCCTCACGGTTGATAACGCATCTGCATTTTGATTGGTAATAGAGGATAGATGTAGATGTCTAGGGGTCGCAGCAACCACTTAGGTACCATCAGGTGGACTGAGTGCTCGTTTGTCACCCTTATCCTGTTAAAAAAATACAGTTGACCTTACCGGCCATCCCTGGAACTTCCTGCTAATTTCAAATGCAAAGCGCTCCAAATTCCACACATTGTGACGTTTTTGAAAAATCGCTATGGAATTATTCGTTAAATGTGTTTAAAAGTTATATTAAGAAAACATTTTCTTGAAAATTTTAGTTTTGAGATTTCTCAAAACACACACACATACATACAGACATAGTGACATCCTCGTAGGAATAGTCAGTAGCTTCCTAGGACCCCAAAACTTCGAGATCTGATGAAACCCCGATTTTCGAAAACTGGGTTGAAGCCAATAAATTCCCGATTTTTCGAAAATCATTGATCTTCATAGCAGGAAGTTAAAAAGAGTAACTGATACAAGTAACTTGTGCTTTACAGAATGTAACATCACAATTTTTTTAACAATTTCTGTTTTTGTGTAAATACATTAAATTCTCGTAAATAAACTGATGCCAAGCGTGACTACTATAGAGAATATCCCCCATATGAGATAATCTATGGGGGGAGGTCTACGTTCAGTAGTGGACTTATAATAATGGTATTTTTGAACATCATCATTACAGCCCTTCGAAGTCCACTGCTGAACATAGGCCTCCCCCAAGGAATGTCACAAAGCACGGTCCTGAGCCACCTACATCCATCGACTTCCTGCATGTCTTACCAGATCGTCACTCCATCTAGTGGGAGGTCACCCTACACTTCGCCTACCGGTACGAGGCTGCCACTCGAGAATCTTTCTTCCCCATCGGTTGTCGGTTCTTCGAGCTATATGGCCGGCCCACTGCCACTTCAGCTTACTAATCCGTTGGGCTATGTCGGTTACTCAGGTTCAACTGCGGATATCCTCATTTGTACGTTTATCACGCAAAGAAACCCCGAGCATAGCCCTCTCCATAGCTCACGGCCAACAGTGAAGGACCACGTCTCAGATCCATAAATCATCACTGGCAACACGCACTAGTTGTACAATTTCGTTTTTAGGTTTTGAGGTATGTCTAACGAGAAGATGTGTCGTAGTTTCCTGAACCTGCCCAGCCGAGTTGAACCCGTCGATTGACCTCTCGGTCGAAGTTGGACTTACCTAGTCGGACTATTTGTCCCAGGTAAACATACTCGTCAACAACTTCGAGCTTAGTGCTCCCAACAACTACCGGCATAGGTGTGACATAAACGTTAAATATGATTTTTGTTTTGTCCATGTTCATCTTAAGACCTATCCGTTGGGAGACACTATTGAGGTCATTGAGCATAGTGCTTAGGTCCTCCAGCGATTCTACCATAAGGACTATATCGTCGGCAAATCGAAGGTGAATGATGTACTCGCTATTGATGTTAATACCGCATTCTTTCCAGTCCAGTAGCTTGAAGACGTCTTCCAATGCAGCGGTGAAGAGTTTCGGGGATATAACGTCACCCTGTCTTACACCTCTCTGCAGTTGGATAGGTTTTGTACTCTGATTCTGTACTCGGATAGCCATCGTAGCCCTACTAAACAAACACTTCGGCACTTCGATACACCCACAGTCAACTTCGCATCGCTGAAGGTACTGCAGCACCGCCGAAATTGCGATGGTATCAAAGGCTTTCTCATAGTCCACATACGCAAAGCAAAGTGGCAGATTATACTCCTCTGTCTTCTTTACAATTTGCCGAAAGGTGTGTATGTGGTATATGGTACTAAAGCCTTTTCGGAAACCGGCTTGTTAGGGAGGCTGGAAGTCATCAAGTCTGCATGCGAGACGATTCGTAATGACTCAACAGCACGTAGACGCGGCTCAGAAGGGAAATCGATCTATAGTTCCTCAAGAGAACGTTGTCGCCTTTCTTGAAGAACAATACCACCGCAATTGTGATCCACGCCTCCGGAGTAGTGTCACCATGGAGGACGGAATTAATGAGCTTCTGAAGGATTTCAAGTACAGGTCTTCCACTCGTTTTCAAAAGCTCCGCTGTAATTCCATCCTCACCTGGGGCCCTGCCGTTTTTGAGGTGCTAGTGAGCCTTTCTAATCTCGCTCAGACTGACGTCCGGGATATCTTCGGAATAGTGTCGGATAAGACTCGCTCTTGGATCGTTACCCACACTCGCGTGTGGTTCCAACGATGACGTGTACAGCTGCCCATAGAACCTCTCAATCTCACTCAAAATCTCGGGTGTCCCGGAAACGATGCTACCACACCCGGTCTTCAGCTTTGACAGTTGGCTCTTTCTTGCAGACAGATCTCTGGCAAAGACTTTGGAGCCTTAGTTCCGCTCGATCGCTTCTTCAATACAAGCTGTATTGAAGTTGCATAAGTCCCGCCGCATGCGTTTGAAGATCTGTCTGTTCAGTTGGCTGTATGCTGCCAAATCTGTTGAAGATTGTAGCTTCATCTCCCGTCTAACAGCCATGAGATTAAGAGTGTGATCGTAGAGTTTTTGTGTTCTTCTGCGGCGGGTCTTGCAGAACTAAGCTCCGACCGCATGGACAGTTTCCACAAGCTTGTCATTCATATCGTCCACTACATTGCAGTCTTCTAAGCACTGAAAACGGTTTTATAACTCGAGCTGAAAGGTTTCGGGACTTTGGAATAGAGCACGAGGGGGACGGAGCGTTGACTTCATTAGACAAGACCTCTCCAAATTAACGTTTAGGTTCAGTGCCTCTAACCATTTGGTGATCGCTAGCAGTTTTTACCCTCGTGATCACGGAGACATCACTGCACAGTTGTCGTCTGGTCGTCATAATGAAGTCAATCTCCTTTTTTGTCGGAAAGGTCCACCTCCTGTGGGGCCGCTTCTAAAAGAAAGAGTTCATCATAAAGAGTCCCTCTTTCTCCATGAAGTCGGCCAGCTGCTAGCCCCTTGGGTTCCGTTGCCCTATTCCAAATTTCCCAACTTTCAGCTCACCGTTCTCTCTTGTGCCTAGTTTTGCAATGGAAGTCTCCCATTAAAACCATATAGTGGGTTTTGGAGGAATGCATGGCTCTAGAGATATCTTCATACATTTTCTCCACCTCCTCATCGGGACGTGCCGAGGTTTGTGCGTAAACCTGTATGACCTTCAGCGAATACCATTTGGTGATTCTAAGTATAAGGTACACAACCCTCGTCGACACACTCAATCTTTACAACGTTGTTAACGATAGACTTGTGGACGATAAATCCGACACCTCCTTGGAACAGATGGTCACCCTCCCGGTGATAGAGCAAGTTTCCGGATTACCGTGTCCTCGCCATCTCTTCGGACCTTGGATAATCTTATAATATGCCAGCGTAACTTGTATGTTCTAATGTGTCATATGTTTAGTCACGCCCACCAACTTACCCAAAAACTAGAATAAAATGTATACTACTTGTTCACTTGGACACAAAATTTTGATTTGCAACTTATTACTAAATTCATTGTTTACATGAATAAAATCTCCTAAAATTAACTTGAAATTTAGTTGTAAATCAGCCATTAAGCAGAAAAGGACCTAATCCCGATTTTCTTTCTTGTTTTGATATTTAGTTTTATTCATATATTTGTTTATATAATTTATGATTTTCAGATTCTCAGCAATATTCGATTGCCCGTTTATTTGGTTTACAACGATGGAACCATTTTGGACAACGTTTTATTTAATAGATGAAGCTTCAAACCCAACTTACACGACTTTCCCGATGTCAAATAATATTGCCCCGTTCACATTTAAAGAACGTGTGCAGGAATTGATACTGCAAGTAGCATTCTATTTTACAAAGGAATGGTGAGAGTTTTTCAATAAAGTTTTCTGTTCTTAGGCTATTTTAGTTCTAATTTATTAAGACCGCTGGGGCTGGGTAGTAATACTACTTATTTCTCAAATATCACATTCACTTACATGTAGTACCTACTCCTAGTGGTCAACGAACAAGGCCCTGCTGGTCTACAAATACAAATTTAAAATGCCGATCCCGAATAATTTTTCTGCCCACTTCCAAAAAGGAGACGGTACTCAATCCGACTGTATGTTTTTTTATGTGTGTTACCTCATAACTTCTTACTGGGTGAACAGATTTCGATGATTCTTTTTTTATATGAAAGCTGATACTTTTCGTGTGGTCCAGTCAATGGTTTTTGAGTTATACTTAATAACTTATATTGAAGTCGGGTGTACAAAATTTTTAATATTAAATTATTTACGAAATAGTGTCACGCTATAGTGAACACATACTAGGCAGTACGAATCAGTCAGCTAGACTGCGGAAGAAACAAGCTAGCATATCATCAGCATTACATAGCCACATGATGTTTGTTGTCCTTATCAGTCTGGCTTAATCACCTGGAAAAAACGTATGCTAACTTTGATACTGAATTTTTTTTTAAATTTTTTTTTTTAATGGTAAAAACGTTACCCCCACACTAGGATTTTCTCCTGTGTCGTGGAGGCAGTTTACAAACATAAATTGCACAAGGACAAACATCCAGACCCGGAACAATTATTTGTAGGCCATACAAATACTTGTTCCGTGCAGGATTCGAACCCGCGGCCCCCAGCGCAACAACTGATTGCTAAGCCACTGCGCCACGGAGCCGTCATTGATAATGTACTATCAGTTAGACAGTGTGTTCGTTTATATACCTTATTCTTCTTTTTCAGTTGATATTAGTCCACTGCTAGACGTGGGTTCTTCTCGTTGCAGGTGGATTGATGATCACAGTACTAGTATTTTACGTCTGGCGTAACTGTGTTTAGCGCCATCTATTGAAAGTCATAAGAATTTTATTCATTTCTCATAGTCGCCGCATATACGGGCCTAAATGATGTGTCTCTTACACCACTGCCATACAGCATTTTGTCGGTTCGGTAGCGTAGTGGGGACGTGTTTAGGTGCGGCACGACGGGACATTGGATTCAAATCTCGTACGGAAAAATGGTCTACAAATAATTGTTTCGGGTTCATGTGCGATTTTGTATGCCGCCTCCATGATACAGGAGAAAATCCTGGCGTGGCGGCGACTTTTGACTTAAAAAATCTAAATGTCGTTAGGTAAACGCTTAAAAATAATGTATTATAAGAAACACTCAAAAGTCACTAAATTTTACTGTTCAAATATGGTCTTAATATCTTAATAATTAAAGGAATATGTACTTCGTGGATAAAGAGCTGTACACAAAAACCTTCGCACCAGCAATGGCTCAAAGAGGAAAAGCACTACCGCCTTACGATGAAATTAGATTTAACGCTTCTATGATCTTGGGCAACTCTCACGTGTCATTAGGTGATGCGAATAGATTGCCGCAAAATTATAAACCAATTGCCGGTTACCATATTAATCAAAACGTGAAGCCATTAACGAAGGTAAACATTATAGTTAATATATTAACTTCGCCTAGATTTATAAAATAAGCTGTGAGAAGGTAGAAATATTTCATCTCGACATATTATTACGTGAATGAAAAATCGATGTATTTTTCACAAAGTCAGCAATTGTTACAAATATGTCGTCTAAGTCCTAAATTTGTTCCGCGTTTGCTACTCGTAGATAGATGCAACAGGTGATTTTATAGTCATCTGAAAACGTAGTCAGGAAAATTTATTTTATTTAAGACTTCTTTAAAGCTCTTAATAATTAATAATTTTATAAAATTAGGTAGCTCAGAGGCGCTTAGCTCGATATCAATTGCAGAGTACGCGAGCTACTTGTGTTCGACCCCCACCGGCACCAATTAAATTGTTAATTGCAATTTTAAATGTTGATTTACCACGTGCGTGGCGGTGAAGGAAAACATCGTGAGGAAACCTGCATGTCTGAGAATTAAGAAAAAAATTATTTTGGACTGTTACCAGCAGTGAGACACATACAGGATTATTTTGCAATAACCGGACTGCAGAGAAGGTTCAGAATAAGTAATATAACCAAATGGTGAAGAAAAATTAATTTAAAAAAATCTCAAGCCTTTTTGCCCTGTTTATTATAAAATTCAAAATGCGTGGTAATTTTTTTTTAATAGAATTAGGGTGACAAACGAGCACACAGTCCACCTGATGGTAATTGGTTGCTCTGGCCCATAGACATCTGCATATTATATCTTCGTTTGCGAATTAAAATGCAGATGCGTTGTCAGCCTTGAGGACTAGGATAGAATGCCTCTTTCCCAGTAAAATGGGTCTCCGGTTCTCTACACTCACCATACGAAACACAGTAGTGTTAAGCTGCTATTTTACCTATGTATTCTGTGAGAGCGTGGTCCTTCCCCGGTCGAGCCGACCCATTCGTGCTACAACTATACTATTAATATAGCTGCAGCATGGCTCTACCACGTAAAGAAGGTAATGTATTATTTTAACTGATTGTCTACTATTTTACTATGCATGTACACATTCGTAAGGGTCAATCGGTCGGCAAAAACTCGAATAGAATCGCACACAGAGGAGCGCGCGTACGCGTAGTTGTTGCGCATAAATCACATTGAATTTGGGATAATTTCGAATAAAATTAGAAGCCTTATTTACTCGTATTTTCAAAACTTGCAATAACGATATATCATTATTTATATATTTGAACTTAAGTTTGCTACTCTTTGAGAAATAACAGATTTATTTGACCGAGCTTTACCTTACTGTACTTTTACTTATTTTTTAGTATATTATCTTATTATATATAATGCCAACTGACTTCTCAGATGATAGAGATTTAAAGCCAGTAAAAAAATTGATTTAATAAAACTTTATCTACATATATGTCTTGATTTGTTTAATCCGTGTCCTGTATTCACAAACAACTTAAGGTGTGATACTTGCTTGTGCAATAGTTAGGTTTACTTTTCTTAGGCATAGGCACTTTATTTTTCTTTAGTAAAAAAAACCCTAACCTTTACATAAGGAATTCCTCCTCTATGATGAAAGCGTTTTACAGACATGAATTGTACATGGACAAACATCCAGACACTGAACAACTGTTTGTCATACAAACACTTGCACCGTATAGCAAATTCCCGTGGTTAGTGGAGCAATATAACGCTAAGCAAGTTACTGCCAAGCCGCCTAGAAGTTTATACGTGGAAGAGTCATGCTGCAGCTATATTATGGTTATAGCATGCATGGGTCAGTTCGACCAGGGAAAGACCACGCTCTCACAGAATAAAAGCGCAAAATATCAGCTCAATGCTGCTGTGTAGTTACTCTTAGTAATCTTAGCCCTCAGGGGTGGCAACGCATCTGCATTTTAATTCTTAATCGAAGATTTTTATCATCAGGTGAAATGTTTGCCCGTTTGTCAACTTTATTCTATAAAAAATTACTAATTCTAAAAATACTAATTGACAGGAATTAAAAAATATTATGGATAACTCGAAAAATGGCGTCATTTACTTTAGTTTGGGTTCAAATGTGAGGAGTAAGGACCTGCCTGATATAATCAAGAGAAAACTCATTAACATATTTAGTCAGTTGGAACAAACCGTCTTATGGAAATTCGAAGAAGACTTTCCTGATTTACCAAAAAATATTCATGTACTCAAATGGGCACCACAACAAAGCATTCTTGGTACGTTTATCTTATTATAAATTCCTATTAATTAAGTTTTTTCTTATTGGTCCTCATCATTCTGTAAAATCTTCTTCCTCTTCTTGCCCTGATATTATTTGAGGTTTGCATAGCATGTCTTCCTCTACCACTCTTCTTACATATATTTCGAAACCATAACAAAAAGTCAAATCTTTTTAATAGTAAAAAGATTTGACTTTGTGTTTTACAATCGGTCGCCTACCTGTCGTCATCCCTACTTCGGAATGGGACTACGGAAAATTGGGAAAGAGATAACAACAAAGGTATTTCGGGAGTTTGGTAATAACAGAAAAAGAGACATTGATGTTAAGGAGAGGAAAATGTAAGTGACATTTTTGTGGTTCGAGCGGTCGCGCAAACGAATACCGGCCAGGTATTTGCAAGTGTAATTCTTTAGAACGGCAATCAGCTTGTAAAATGACATTAGCCTCTACGTCCTAAATATATGCCTCTCCCGTTATAGAAGGATTTATCTTAATTGTTACGCTTGCCAGGTGGGTTGAAGACTGCAGTACCAGACGTATCTCACTTTTGACACTCACCACCGGTCTGGATATTTTACGTTACGACACGGTTATAATGTAATACACCTAATATCAAGAGTTTAAAAGTATTATTTAATACTTTATGTAACGGAATCTAAATTAGTTTTTAGAGTTCGTTGGCTTTATATCACTCTCTGCCACTCAACTAATGATTTGAGAACCAGTAGCTGTTGCAAACATTTCTCTAAATAAAATGAGTAATAAAGATAGTAAACTAGATAAATACAATATAGTAAAATATATACATACATAGTAGAATATAATAAGGTATGAATATATGTAGTCAATATGTAAATGTTATCTATCGGAAGCCATAAAATCTTTCTACCATTTCTCAAAGTCACCTTTTATGACACAAGGCGAGCTAACCAAGTTTAACCCCCGCCGGCAACAATGAAATTTTAAATGCAATTTTAAGTGCTGAGTATTGCGTGATTGGCGTTAAATAAAAATTGTGAGGAAGCTTATAACGTCTAAATAATAATAATATATAACGGGGACATGTTAAGTCGATAAGAAACGTGAAGAGTAGTGCGACGGATTTTTTATGACTCAAAACCATTTCAATAAAAAGAGGAGACTTATGTTCAGCAGTGGGATGCATACATTACATTACCTTACCTTATCTTTCCCTCTTTTAATAGGCATTTTTTTTTTTCATTAATCATAACTTTTTGAATCAGCTCACCCAAATTGCATCATGTTTATAACTCACGGTGGTCTACTGTCAATAACTGAAGCCGTACATTTTGGAGTTCCTATTATTGGAATACCAGTGTTCGCAGATCAGCATATTAATGTACAAAAAGCAGTTAAAAAAGGATTTGCCAAGCAAGTGGACCTATCTTTTTCTATAGTAGAAGACATAGAAGATGCTATTCAAGAAATGCTACATAACTCGAGGTGTGTACAATGATCAAGTTAACAAATGTTACAAAATTCTCGCCACTAGAATTTTTTTTTAAATGTAATCGCTGTAATAGTTATAGTCCATTGATAGACATAGGTAAATAAAATCAGGACAAATAGAAAATCATTCCTATGATGGTAGAATCATTATAGGAACGATTTATCATTTGGATCAGAGAAGATGTCTCATGTGTTTGAGGCAGCTCTCTGTCGCCCGTCTGAGTTATTTTCATGTATCGTATAGTAAAGCGGTATACCAACCACAATCCATCGGAGGTCCATAATCTTTCTGGCCTCAATTTTTAAAGTTTAATAATTTATTAAAAGTTAATATTACTTTTACCACTATTTATTTAGCTATTCCTCTCATTGGCTTATTTTTAATAAAAGTAAATAATAATAATAATATTTAAAAAAGCTCTTTTGTGTTTATTTTCTGTTTTAATTTGATATTTTTCGTTTCAGTTATCGCAACAAAGCGAAGGAGTTCTCGTTCATCTATCATCATCGTCCCATATCACCGGGCGCAGAATTTGTTCATTGGGTAGAACATGTAGTGCGTACAAAAGGCGCTGCACATTTACGTTCGCCTGCGTTTACTGTAACTTGGTACCAAAAGCTGTACTTGGATCTGATAGCTGTAATAGCAATAACAATAGTACTGACATTTGTATGCATGAAATTAATAGTACGAATATGTTCGCGAAATAATGAGTCTCATATGAAGAAAATGAACTAGTATAATTAATAAATTTTCTGTTTCCAGTTTTCTTTTGTAAATAAACCGTTAGAACGGTTTATAAAACCCCATGTTTTTGAATTTGTTTTGAATAAAAAACAATGTGTAAGGGTAAAAGTTGTATTTATTTTGTATTACCTGTAATTATATTTCAAACGTTGCAATATTTTTCTACAACCTTTTAAAAAATACCAATAAATGCCAAAACTATTACAAATTCCTTTTCTTTTTAAATTATAAATCAAATTAATATTAAAAGTTAGCTCGTATTGACGAAGCGGTTAAAGGGTACCGAAGCTCCAAATTTTTTGCAGTTAATTGACAGTTGCAGCGTAATTTTTGGGTGACCTAAGACTTTCAAGTTGACTACTACCACTACGAGTAGAAAGTGAGGTATAATATTTGACAGATTTCATAGCGGGGAAGTTAATTTGTTCGGAAAATGTAAAGGGTATTGTTTCTTTCTGCACTATTAGCTACATTTTTATTTATTTAAAAATAGATAAACTAAACAGATTTTCATAAAAGTAGAAAAATTAAATAAAAAGTAAAGTAAATAAAAACTGACGCATTGTTTTGTGTTTTCATTTAATACTCTAAAAACTGATAAACTTTTATTAAAAACCCAACTTCTCAATTAACTTACACTGTGTAACAAAAAAAAACTTTACCTCAGTGTCAACTAGCGACATCTAGTGAGCAGAAAATTATTAGTCCTCATTGTACACACGGTCGTTAGAGCGACAAGCGAATGTGAGTAATGACGCAAGATCAAATCCCAGTCGACACTAGTATAGCGATTTTTTGCTTGATGTGACTGACACGATATCATTTTCGCCAAATTATAAGAAGTAGGCATGAGTGGTTGAGTTTTTCTTTTGATAGAGATCAACTTGCTTAAATTAATCACTTAGGAGACAACATCGTTAAAATTAAACATTAAACGAAGTTATATCACAGAATAGATAATAGTACAAGTATCTATTACATTTTAGTTTCCATGTGCTAACTCTTTTTATAGCTATGTAGATTTTAAATTTTGTAATAACTGAAATGTAACAAAGCTGTTGGTGGTACGATAAAATAAAAATAAAATTAGATTTTTTTATAGGATATGGGTGAAAAACGAGCACACAGTCCACCAGATGGTAAGTGGTTGCTGCGGCCCATAGACATCTACATCTATCCTCGTTTGCGAATCAAAATGCAGATGCGTTGTCACCCGTGCGGACTAAGATGGAATGCCTCATTTCCAGTAAAAAGGGCCTCCGGCCACCTGCACTCACCAAGCGAAACGCAGAGGTAAACCTCTACTTCACGCTGGTATTCTATGAGGTCGTGGTACCACCCCGGTTCGAGCCGGCCCATCCGTGCGACAGGAAAAGCTGCCGCGTGTCTCTACCACTGTTAAAAGATTCTCGTATATGATATTAAAGATCTGCACAAAATATGTGAATCACTATTTTGTGCAGTGTGCAGCACATATAATAGTTTTAGACTTCGCAGATAATATTTCATTGCTACTTTAATGTCCAGTAAACAAATAACAGTGTGTCGTGGAACACTCGGTTGGAAAGAATTTCGTTTTGCAGTTTTTTTTTAATACTAATAATGCTATTAAACATTACTAATATCCCTTAAACCACTTCTGGTAAGTTTAAAATGCTTGTGTTAGAAGTGGTTCACGACAGTAGTCGAATGGCGGATTCGAACCTACGACCTTTCGAGTTCGCGGTCCGCCCATTGTCATTAGGCTACTGACGCTTCTAATATATTATTATTGATAAACGTATTATATTATAGATTAACAAATACAACTAAATAAATAAATAATTACTAGCGTCCATTAAAATTAAGCGTCATTTAAAATAAAATAATATTTCTTTCATGGCAAGATAAAAAAAACTGTGATGGAGATAGATATTATTCCGTCTCGCTTCGTTATAGCCGCCAAGGCCGTCTACACTACGTCAGAAGGGGTCGTGATGGAGAAATCTTACACTTTTTCTCGCCTAGTCCCCATCCGCTAAATTCGTACCGTCCGATAGAGAACTTCGTTCCAAAACGATAGTGATAAACTTTCTTTGATTGATTATTTTCATCATCATCATCATAAATGCCTATCAAAAGTCCACTGCTTAACATACATTTCCTTCATTGATGGCCTTATAGAGCGAATATTTTGCCATAGTTGCCACGCTTGGGTGTAGTTCAACTTGTATTGATAATATTTTTACAGGTGTTGTACCAATCAACAAATCAATAATTCAAAACTTAGTTCAGATCACTGTGGACAACTGGTTTCATTACCTTATATGCACAAAAACAGGAAATTGAGTAATAATATATTTGCGTATATAGGAAATTGCTTAAATTTGTAACAACTAAAGTAATTGTATGAGTCGCATAGAATCAAAAGCAGCAATCTGACGTTTTAACGAAAATCCAGTTAAATACAGGGCATCATCAAACTAGTACGCAGTACATATTATGTACTACGTACTAGAACAGACACCGCGAACAAAACCTGAGCGGTAGTGGGATACAGAGTACCTACATTTTTTAGCACGTAGGTCTGTGCCCACGAGCTCTAACGCGTCTTGCAAACAACCAAGTCTAGATGTATCTTCTATCTGTGTGTCTGTATAACTGTGTTTCTGTATAACTGTGTGTCTGTGTATCTGTGTGTCTGTGTATCTGTATGGCTGTTTATCTGTGTCTGTCTGTGGCATCGTAGTTCTCAAAGGGATGAACCGATTTATATTTAGTTTTTTTTTTTGTTTGAAAGGTGAGTATATGAGAGTTATCTTAGCTATGATTAAAGAAAATCTTTTCAACCCTTTGAATATCATTAGCTCTTTTTATTCCGGTGGGTTTGTTAATTTTCAATTTTAAATTATTACACTTACAAAAATCTGGGTTTGGACCATCATCAATAGTTCTTAGAATAACAATAGTCTTTATTATACACTTATTGTATGTAGGACTCCTTTTCTGCCTAGAAGTCTGTCTGATTACATCCTCCCACCACCCCCTTACCTGTTTCTGCCGTCAAATAGTAGTGCTTTTGATTGCTATGTTTCGGTCCGAAGGATATAAAGAACCAGAGTAATTATAGACCGTAAAGCATTCCATCGCAGTGTCTGAATATATAAGAAAACGTTGGATTATAAATACGTAGACACCACAAAGACAAATAGGTTTGAGCGATTATAACTTACCTGTATCAAATACCTATGTTAAGAGAAAAACCATAACTAAGTCACACTTACACCGTTTTATTACAAAAATGTGTTTATAGTTAGTTTGAAGGTTAAACTTGAATAATGTTTCATTAAAGAAGTACCATTGAAAATATGCGAACTAAACTTTAAAGTAGGGAATTAAACAGCTAATATCAAATTTAGCGGAGAATGTGGCGTCACGACTAAGGGACTTCATTCATGGCAACCACTCATCATAAACCAAAGTATAAACACGAAACTATTTGAAATAAGAATGAAATAAGAATGAAATAAGAAGATGAAGCAGTTTGAAATGAGACAGGCAGTTTTTTTATCTCTAAAGCATCAATTTGCTTTTTATATGGATAGGCTAGACCAAAAATATTTAATTATAAAAAGATTTGTGAAGTATTTTTAAAAAACTAAAGAAGAACACCTTTTTAAGTCAAACTGTATGAAACGATGCCTGCAAAACAATTGGTCGCTATTGATTCTTAACATTGCATCCCATGCACATTATTAACCAATTTCAAACAAAAACTTTTGATGCTTTGCCACCTCCACCACCGATTATATGCCCCACAGCATATAGTGACACTTCATAGCCTTCAAACCGGAACAAAGTAGTGTATGCACTACTTGTAGAAATACGTTACAGGACTGACCAAGTTTTTTTTATAGAAGAGAGGGCAAACGAGCATGCGGTTCACTATCATGGAATGATAATAGTGCTCCGCAAAATAAAAAGTCTGCTTCACCACATACAGATTTTACAAAACTCATTTATATATATCATCAAAAATAGGGTTGAGCCTAGAATACTACCTTATTTCGGTACTATTATCAAGACTACTACCACATTATATAAAACACTATTACCACATTGTTAACACATTCTGCTTAATCTCAATTTGTTAAGTAGTCACGGAATCATACGTAGAGTATACCTCTGATACACAGGTTTGTCGTCATGTTAGTGTTAGAGGAGCTGGCACAGAGACAGTGTCAAATACCTTGTGCTTCTTTCTGAAAATTGTGTCCAATTTCTTTTTTAATTTGCTGTTTGTTTAGCACATTCGGGAATGCTACTCAGTTTTAGTCCATTAATGACACTTTAGACTTTTTCAGCATCTATTAAGAGTGCCACGGATTGAGGTGAGCCAAGTTGCTGGGTATTGGCATAAAGTTTCAATTCATTTTGAAGCATTTTATGCAGAAAAGTATGAGCTAGTTGTGATTCGATTATATTAAAGTATATAGTAACTAGATTAAGTGAATTTGTCGTCATTTCATTGATTTTTACATACGTTTACTCCACGTGTCTTTGGCGTTTTCAATGCTGGAACTAAGTTTCAAAATACTTTTGAAGTTGTTACAATTATTGCACCCGTGATAACGCGAAGCGTTAGTAGGCAGTGTATTACTCTCGACACGTCAAGTTCAAGCAATTTTGTGGTCTTAAAATGCCTCTGTCATAACCACATTGCACTTATTCGATAATATGAGTAGCCGTATATCAAGAAAACACTAATTAATCCATTTTATATTTTCTAAAAAATCATTTCATATTGCTACACTGATACAAAAATGGTTTGAAAAATTTAGGTGGACGTCCGTAAAAATTGACGTATCGAGACCGGGTTTTTTTTATTACATTCAGATTTACGTCAACTGATTTTATACTTTGTGTATTTGTGATGAAGAAAATTAATTTATTTTGGTAATTTATTTTTTTCATCAAAATTAAATGAAACGCTCAAGAGTCGTGCACTCTTG